GGATCTCTTGGAACTGGAGTTACCAGCAATTGTGAGCTGCCCAGTGTAGATGCCAGGAGCCAAACTGAGGTCGTCTGCTAAAGTACTCAGTGCTCTTAACCACCGAGCCATCTCCTCAGCCCTTAAACACTAAAACACATCACATTTCATACTGTGGCACACAGATCCTCAAGTGATGTTTGCACATTTGTTTGTTTTTTTAATTCAGGCATCTGAAGGGAATGTATTTGAATATTGCCATCAGCAGAGTCTGGAGTGTGTTCTTGGGAGTCCCTTCCTCTGTTCTTGGTGATTTTCCATACGCGTGAAATGTGTATAAAAGCCTTGGGCTCCTGTCTGGCTCCTTGCCTGCCTTGATCCACATCCCACAGTTTCGGAGTGGTAGAGTAACTGCCAACTCACCCCCAAGTCTCAGTGCTGACTCCTCAACCCCTGGCTTAAAGTGGCCAGAGAAGGCCTGGTCTGAAGGGTTGACAAATAATGGACCACCATCCTCCCCCAAAATGGGGTGGCTGTGGCCCAGTCCTCCCATTCCTGGAGAAGGAGCCCTCCAGCCTGTAATTAGTGGCTGGTTTGTGGAAACTGCCCACATTGAGAATTCTAGTGCAGATTTGCTGGCCTACCTGCTCTGGCTCCCGCAGCTGATAGTGCCTCCTTGGCCCCTGGGACCCCATGACCTCATGCAGCCCTAAAACCATAGGGCTAGGCGAGAGTGGGCAGGGGCGACTTGGCTTCACTTCTGCCTAATTCCCTCCTCCAAAGACAAAACAAGCTGGCTGCAGAGTGGGTCCGTGATTAAGGGTGCTTGCTACGCTTGTAGGGGCCAGAGGGCTGAAGTTCAATTCCTAACAACCAGGTTGAATGGCTCACAACCTCCTGTAACTCAAGCTCCAGTGGATCTGAACCCCTCTTCTGGACTCTAAGTATACCCACATGCAGACACACACACACACACCACACACACACACACACACACACACACACATTTTCAACCTTTTACATTTTAAACGTAAAATTATTTTAGTAAGGGCCAGTCATGGAAGTTTCTGACCCACTAGCAGTTAAAGGGCTTTTTGTTTTCATTAAAAGTTTAATTAAAAAATCACTTATTCAATTAGTGGGGGACAGGGTGCCATGGCATATGTGCGGAGGTCAGACAGCAACTTGCAGGAATCTGTTCACCTCTTCTAACGTGTGGGTCTCAGGGATCGAACTCAGGTCCTCAGGCTTGGCAGTACATGCCTTTACCCACTGAGCCATCTCTCTGTAGCCCAAGTCCTGCCTGGTTACAGCTTCTTTCTTACCGTTGTGCTGGACACAGGTGTCTGGGTGAGCAGGTTTCTCTCTTTGAACTGTGTACTCCCACTGGCTCCTTAGATGATAGTTCACAGGGCATCTTCCTGTCGCTCTGGAGTTCACACCCCCCCCCCAGCCTACCCCCAGCTTTGGCTTCCTTTAAGATTTCTCTTTGTTCTGGGTTTTCTGTAGTTTGAACGCTATATGATTGTGTGTATGTTCTTTGTTACTTACAAGATCGTATGCTTCTTAGACGCCTGCATCTATCTTTTGGTGTCTGTTATAATTTTAGAAGACTCGACCGTTTTTACCTCTGAGATTCCGTCTCCTTTCTCACTTTATTCTCTTTCCGATTCCATGTAGGAGAGCTTTTGAAATGTCCTTAGCTGTCCCCTGGCTTGTTTGTCCCTTACTTTTGTCCCCCTGTCGATCAGTCTTGAAGCACACCGGTGATGCTTCCTCAGCAGCATTTAACCTACAGTTTTCACCTGGTGGCTGGAGAGATGGCTCAGAGGCCACCAGCACTACTTGTTTCTCCAGAGGACCAAGCTTTGCTTCCCAGTGCGCCCTCGGGCCTGTCTGTGACTCCAGGCCCATCTCTTCCGGCTTCCCAGGCACTAGGTAGGCATGTGGCGCACAGGCACTCATGCAGGCAAAACATGCATACATAAATGAACATAAAGTGAGACCACCCAGCACCTTTTTATTTCCGTTTCAATGCTTTTTCTTTCTACTATGTCTTTAACTTTTTATGTACGTTTATTTACATGTTCCCCCCTCTCTCTGTGTGTGTGTGTGTGTGTGAAGGGGAGGTTCGGAGGACAACCTGTGGGATTCAGCCTCCGCTATCCCTTTTCCATATGTGGGCCCCTGAGATTGAATTCAGGTTGTCAGGCCAGATGGGTAGATGGGGAAATATATTTTTCTAATGAGCTGTCTCACCAGTCCTATCTTTTTTTAAATTAACTTTATTTTATGTTCATCTGTGTGAGGGTGCCAGATCCCCTGGAACCAGAGTTACAGACAGTTGTGAGCTGCCATGTGGGTGCTAGAAAGCTGGGAACCGAACCCTGGTCCTCTGGACGAGCAGCTAGTGCTCTTAACCTGCTGAGCCATCTCTGCAGCTCCCCTCTATTATATCTTTTACTCTTGTTTTTTGTCGATTTCACTGGCCTAGAACATACCAAGTATGCTAGGCTAGCTGGCTAGAGAGCCCCACAGAGATGCCTGTCTCTCCCTTTCCAGCACTGAAATTATAGGTGTATGCCATCATGCCTGGATTCTTTTCCCCAGTGGGTTCTGGGATTGAACTCAGAGCATCTTCTTAAGGGAAGCACTTACTCACCATGCTGTCTCTACAGCCCCTTTAATTTGCTTTTGCAAAGAATGCTTGCCTGGGGATGGAAGCCAGGGCCTCCTCCCACCCCCTCCCTGGGCTTGGCCTTCTACTCCTTTCTCTGACAGCTCTGTGTTTACATCACCCATGTCTTCCCTCCACAGTTCCCTGTTTGCAATGGAGTCTCCATGTCTGAATCATCCTTTTCCCCAATTCTCTGTGCTACAGCCCTAGCTTATGTGCTATGGAAGTCTGGCCTCTTCAGTCAGACTTTTCTTCAAACCTTGCATCATGCCTTGGTTTATTTGTTTGCTTGTTTGTCTTGGAAAGCAGATGTGATTTCCTGAATGACACAAACTGAGGGACATAGAGCTTTGGAGTGAGGACAGTACGAATCCAGCTAGGGTTTAGCATCTAAGGGGTGCTAGAGGCCTGAAGCATACACCAGTGTCTACATAGTAGCTCCTTACTGCCTGAGGTTCCTGTGCACATCTCCTCAGATAAAGGATGTCCTTCAGCGGTCACCCGATGCTGCATCGGAGCCTACTGATGGGGGAGAGGGGATGTCTAGAACCCCATGCCCCTGGGCTGTGGCCCTCACGCTGTGTCTGAGTGGACTGTCTGCTTACCGAGTCAGCAATGTAAAGGGCTGCCTTTCTCTCCCTTGGGGTGAATCTCATAGCCATTTCTCCTGGAGAGACAGCCTGCTTCAGGGTCTTGACAACCCTCTTCCCTCTGTCTGCCAGGACCGTGATGGGGCTTTCCTGACCCTTCCTTGGGATCCTGGATGGGTTCCTGGAGGTAAACTTGCAAGAGCATGACTCCAAAGTTGTGCCACCCTTAGCTTCTCATTCATCTTCATCCACATCCAGCCTCCAGGCATTTCCCCAAACGGTGTATTATCCTTACCCTATCTGACCACCAGCCTGGGACAAGTCAGCTGTGACCATGTCCTTCCCTACCCGTGCCTTCATTTTCCCAGGGGCCTTGCAGTTGCCAGGCACTTTGTGTGGTCACCCAATTTCCAAGAGCACGTTTTCCAGACCCCTACTCTGCCCTCTGTGTTCAGTTCAGTCTATAATACTAACTGGAGCAGGAGGGGGGGAAGTGGGGTGCTCTTCCCCTGCTGTGTGCCCCCCATCATCTGACAGTGGCTGTCTTCCCCTCTCACCCTTGAGGGTCCAGCTGCAGCAGCTGTTGGTCATAGCTTCTTGTCTCTAGCCACCCTCCTGCCAACGGGGACTTTGTAGACCACCGCTTCTGTCAAAAACTCCATATTGTCTCACTGTCCCCCTCTGTGACCCCTCAACCTCGTTGTCATCCATCCATCAGTTGTGTGTTAAATATGCTCACTCTTCAACTACTTAGAGATGAGATCTTTGGTCTTATATGCAGACCTTGACTCATCGCCGCCACCCCAACCCCCTTTGGGGCTCCAACCGCAGCAGCTCGGTGGAATCTAAGCAACCCTAACCACACTAACCAACTCTGACAGACAGACTGCCACAGGGCAGCTCAAAGAGACAGCAGAGAACGGGTATCTAGCTCCGTGTTGAGAGGGTGTGTGACCGAACAGATAGGATGAGTGCTCCAGAGGGAAGCCAGCGCTGGAGTCCTCATGGGCAAGTGCCCGGCTTTGGGGTGTTATGGGATTCGGGGCCCATAAGGCAGTGTATATGTGTGTTCTTGGGTTGAAGCTGAGGAATGTGCTGCGGGTGGAGCTGTGGACCTATCAGAAGAGACACCCATTAGGGCTTTCTATGTAGATAGGACTGAGGCCCACCGGTTCTGGGCTGCGGGGTGAAGTTCCATGGACAGGGGAGGACAGGAGCCTGGGCGGGGCCACCTTCTACCACCGGCTCAGACTTCCCTTCTTGTGAGGTCCCAGACAACACCACCTGTCTTTTGCAATACACCTCCGATTTTAAACACTCTGCTAAAGTTCTTGTCTGCCTCAAAGCGAGGTGAGGCTTCAACCCAGGAGTCCCTGCTTTGGGCTTTGGGCTTCTTGCTCCTTGGCGGCTAAGTAGCATCCAACCCAGACTCAGAGGTGGAGCTGTGAAACTGGGCAACGGGGCACTGCTCTTGTTGGAAAGCCTGGGGGCCAGGAGGAGGGGGCTGCCTGCAGAGCGGGAGCCAGGCTAGATCGCACTTTTCCAGTCCTGCAGAGTGCTCCCAAGCAGAGGTGATCCCAACGAGAGGGGTCCCCGGATTCAAGGTCTGCGGGGCGAGCCCACAGGCTTCCCCTCGCGCGCCCGGAGGGTGCTACAGGCAGGCTGGAGGCGGGCGCTCGGGGGCGCGGCTCGCGGCTCACGGTGGGGGGGGGGGCGCGCCGGCGGGCTTGGCTGGCCTGCTTCTTCCCGTGTCGACCGCCAGGCGGATGGCGGGGCGACTGGCTGCGGCCGGGATCGGGCCCGGGGCGCTGCTGGCTCTGCGTGTTCTGTTGGCCGCTGCGCACCCGCAGTGCCTGGACTTTAGGCCGCCCTTCCGGCCGCCGCAGCCGCTGAGCTTCTGCGTGCAGTACTCCGCCTTCGGCTGCTGCACCGCAGAGCAGGACGCGGCACTGGCCCGGCGCTTCCGGGCCCTGGAGAGCCGCCTGGACGCCGGGATGTGGGCGACGTGTGCCGGCTACGCGCTGGATCTGTTATGCCAGGTGAGCCGGCTCACGGCGGAGGAGCATGCGGGGCCCTGGTCGCCTGCAGGCGGAGCGGTGATGGTATCTCCATATAGGCAAGACTCAGGAGTGGGTCTGGGATTTTGAGGAGATGGCAACTCCACAGGAGCGATGCTTAAGAGTGGTTCTTAGACTTTGGAGGTGATGGCAATCCTACAGGGCCGAGGGCTAGGAGTGGGTACCGGGCTTTGGAGCTTGGGTGTCCAAGAGGGAGTACTTGGCCCCAGGCGGGAAGATCTGGCATCCCGGGACAGCGCTTGTCATTCATTTGTTTTGTAAAGATGTTGGACCTTTTAGGGGCCTCAATTCCTCTCAAAGGCTAAAAACTCCCATTCTCTGGGATGCGCTGGAATCTGCCCCACCTCAGAGAGCTCTGCCCCTGTCAGGTTCCAGGGTGAAGTGTTTGTTAGACCATGGAAGGCAGGATGGGAAGAGGGTGTGGTAAGAATATGGGGCGTGGCTGTGTGGGCGGCCTGGGCACTGCTTTCCCTCTGAGAACCCTTCCTCTGTCAGACCTAATGGAGAAGCCTGAGAGCCCATTTCTCAGGACCAGGGTGAACCAAGGCCTGTAGGGTCGTGCGTGCTTAAAATACCCATCTTTCTGTTCTGCTACTGGCCCGGCTCCTCCCCTGGGAGAAGTTCTCCCCAGACCTGCTGCTCTTCACATCATCTCCGCTCTGATGGTGGAGCCTTTACTTCGATCCACACTGAACTCCCCTTTTCCTTTTGTTAATGTGGAGTGTCTAGCCACAAGCCCCTGGGTCTCCAGTGTGAGACTGATGTGATCGCGGGAATGCCAGCCTGGCAGGGAAACCGTAAGGCTGGCCCCTAACCTAGGACTGTGAAGTGAAGGGATGATTCATCATGGAAGGGTCCCCACCGTGCAGTACAAGGTCCCAGTCCCAGCCAGCAGGGGGCAGGCTCGAGGAGCGAGAGAAAAGGGCGGCCACCACCGGCTCTCCTGATTGTGAACTTGAGAGAGACTCAGGGTAGTCTTTCAGTAACATTATCTTTGAATCTGGGACGGATTTCTATCCCCGACCCCAGGTCATGAAGATTAAATGACACAGGTAGCGTGGTTCAGTTGGGGTTTGTAGGCGAATTCCTCTATTTCCGGACCAGGGAGAGTGTGAGAATCTGGGTATTTACCTATAGAGGGGTCACATGGTCCAGTGGTGGGTCAGAAGACCTGGACACCGTCAGCGCCCCTGTAAGAGGGTGACAAAAGGTGCTGGGAGGTGAGGGGAGGATGTGGGGGAGCACAGTGCTCTAGGGTGCTCTGCTCCTCTTGTACCCCACTTTGTGCATTTCAAGAGAGTCAGACAGTATGGAGGACCATTCGCCTCTCTCTCCAGCCTCGAGGTCTACCGGAACAGGCCCGTTAGTCTCCCTGTGGCACCCAGGTCCCTAGCAGGGATGCTTGCTTAGAAGGTACTCACACTAGGCTCGGCATGGCAAAGGGATGGCAGGACCAGGGAGGAGGAAGGAGCCACCCCTGAGGCTGTTGCTGGCAGGAGGCACTTCTTTTTCCTTGGGGACCTGCCCAAAATGGCCTGGCCTGAGCGGCCTGTGGTAGAGCGTCTGCTCATACCTCCAGTGAGGCATATTTGGGGGTGATCTCATGTCTGGACTGAGCTTGCGTCAGGAGCTCTGCCAAGGCTGTGGCGTGGTGTCCCTGAGGGGGGTCATGGCAGAGTGTGGGAACATCATCCTCACTGCCACCCGTCTCAAGGAGCCTTACCCACAGCTTCCCATCAAGGATCATTCAGGACTCACAGCTGGCTTGCAGAGGCAGGAGGCTCTTTCCGGAGGCTCTGCCCTCCTCCGGGAAAATATGCCAGGCACTGGTTGCACACGGCAACCCCAGTGTGGCTAGTATGTGGCTCACACGTGGCTGACTTCTCTGTAGCTGAATGCATGCATCAGTGGAGTTGCTGAAGAGTGACCTGTGACAGCGCTTAATAGGGCCATGCACTCAGCACACATGTCTCCAGGGCCATCAAGGAGTTGGTTCTGTGCTTCTGAGCCCAGAGGCAGTTAGCAAGTCACAGACTTAGCTTCCAAAGCCTCTCCATTCATTTCAGGAGGCGGACAGACAGACATGCAACCAAGAGACTTCTCCAAGGTACCAGGGCAAGTAGCGAAAAGCTGCCAGAGATCTGGGACAGCCTGGAAGAGTGACCAATGAGTTACTCCCTTGGGGTTCATCTTACTTGAATGTTTACTGAACAAACAAAAAAGTTGATTGCTTCCAGCAACTTTATGAGGTTGGAGCTCTTTCTCCCCTTTATAGATGGGACAGAGAAGTAAGGAGTTTGCCAAACATCACATATGGAGCTCTGGCTCCAAAGCCCTCCATGCGGCCACGGCCACTTTACAACACTGCCTCCAGCCCAGAATCCTAACCTTAGCTGAATCCTGGGACATCTGCCCCCAAAGGGCCCCCACAGTCTGTGGGGTGGACAGACGGGCAAAGAGCTAATTGAGTCATGGCCAGGCAGAGAAGTCAGGCCACCTCTGGTGAAGCAGAGGTGATGGCAGAAGAGGGAAGCTGCTTCTGGAAGTGACAGATTACCAGGTGAAGAGTCAGAGACAGAGCTTCATGAGCATCCAAGGGGCAGGAGCCTGGGAAAGGAGGAAGGAGGAAGGAGACTTGTGGGTTGGGCCTTGCATCATGAATAGGAGTTTGCCAGATGTGGAAGTAAGGGAGGAAGAAACATCCCACAGAGGGAACATTGTGTACAAGACTCAGTCTTCCTGGCCGGGTGTGGTAGGGGTGGGGGTGGGGGGTAAGAAGCCTTGGGACTTGAGGCCATGAGTCATGACTGTCAGTAGCTGGTCTGTGGCAAGCTTAGGGCTGTCAGGTGGCAGGCGCCCTGATCCTGTGAATGTTTCACGGCCTACCCCTGAACATGAGGTCCAGTGACTGCCCACACCCTGTGCCGGCAGCAATTACTGGCCCCTTTTGTCATTTACTAGTTTTGGGGGGCTCTTGTCTGAGCCCCACATTTATTTTGTGTGTAAGACGCTGCTAGACTCAGTGGTTACTATGTGAGCAGATGCCAAGGCCCTCACCAGGCCCCCAGAACCTCTGTGCCCTCTGTGTGTTCTGGTTGAGTCTTCACAAGGAAAGGGCTATCAGGTTATATCCCATCTCTACAGTGTCTTTGGAGCCAAGGCCAGTGCCTGGTAGCCCGTGCTCTGCTGAGCGTTGTGTTGGTAGAAAGTGTTGGCGGATGAAATGTCAGTGTAAAGAGCAGAAGGCTGGCTGTCATAAAGATTAGGGGTGAGTCCTGGTCTGGCCAATTCCTGGCATGTGGTCACGGTTAGCCGATGTTCCTCGTCTACAACACTGGACTCACGGTGACACTGCCCTGCAGAGAGAAAGTGAAGTCTATGTGTACACTGTCCTCTCTGGTCTTCTTTTGGCTGCCGCTGGTCCACAATAGCATCCCGGGGATCACAAGGGCACTGGCAATTCACAGTCTGAGGTTTGACTGTCTGGCCTGTCATACACAGAATGCAGAATGCAGCGTGTGAAAGATGACACTTCAGATGGGGACAGTGACAGATCAGAGATGCCAAGAACACACAGGGCCCTTAGCTTATCAGGTGGGACTCAGTCCACAGCAATAGCGGGACCAGGGGACAGGCCATGCAATGACTAACAGTAGGGAGCCCTTGGCCTGAGTTAGGGACACAGCTTTGAGGTTAGCTGTCCTCTTGTTTTCCACTGAGGTCTCCTGCTACAGCCCAGCCCGGTTTCCTGGTGAGAGCAGCCGGAGTATAGCTGTCATTGTCTTCTCTATCTAGACATTGCATCTCGAAGGCCTCTGGGGATCCAGAACTGAGTCAGCCCTGGGGGTTGGGGGGGGGGAGGAGTGGCAACAGAGGTCTGTCACATCAGAGAAAAGTAATCTCAGTGTGAAGGACTCCACAGAAGATCCTCAAGGATCTTGGGTTTTGGAGTGTTCTGCTGCAGGCCCAGCAGGGAAGATGGTCTGGGAAAGGGCCACGTGATTGACTCCAGCAGGACCAGCTGCTTGGCAGGACTGTCTAGGACAGGGTGGAAAGCAGGCGTGTTACTTATCTGCGCTCTCCTGTTTGTATTGGCAGGCTGGCTCCCTAAGACAGTAACTCCCTCCCAGGTAGTGTCCATGGGGGGCTGAGTGAGGTCCAAGGCAGAAAAAGTGATGAGTTCTACCCAAGGCAGAGCTGGGGAAAGGACCCCGGTGGCTGCTGTGAGGACAGCTAACTCCAGGATCCTGCTGGAAGGAGTTGAGTCTGAGGGCAGGATAGATTGTCTGGAGCATCCTGGAAGACATAGGCTTGGGCCTCACCTCACACTCACACAGCTGCTATGCACTTGTTGGCTGTCTGGTTATGGAGAGAGTAGGCTGGACCTAAGACTAAACCCAGATACCTCCATATGCTACTGACCTTGAGCATATTACTGAATAACACTGGGGGCCATGCGCCTCAGTTTCCTCCCTGTGAAGTACTCTTAAACACTGAATGAATAATAGGTGTAGGAGTGTTCTGACGTGAGTGCCTTGAGGTAGCCAGAAGGCTGGCAAGGTGGAACGCTTGTCACTGCCCCTCACCATTTGCTATGGCCTACTGCGCCCTGGGATTATGTGCGCGAGGGTCTAGGACCCAGCAGTGAAGACCAACAATTGTTGCTCCAGTAGAGTGTTCATCCTGAAGAAGACAGGCGATATGCAGGCAGGATGTTACATTTTGGGATAGTGAGGTTTTTGGGGGACTTTGTTTTTCTAAGTAATCTAAGGGAAGGTTCGATCTTAGGAGGTAACCCTTGAATGGAGACAGAAAAGCTAGGAGTAAGTTGTGCAGGTGTGTGCTCCCTCCTGCCATCTCTGAGCCCTCCTGTCTCTACAGGAATGCTCGCCCTATGCAGCCCACCTCTATGATGCCGAGGACCCTGCCACGCCACTGCGGACAGTGCCTGGCCTGTGTGAGGATTATTGCCTAGACATGTGGCAGACCTGCCGAGGCCTCTTCCGACACCTCTCCCCTGACCGTGAGCTCTGGGCCCTGGAGAGCAACAGAGCCAAGTTATGCCGCTACCTGTCCCTAGATGACACCGATTACTGTTTCCCAAGCCTGCTGGTCAACGAGAACCTGAACTCAAACCTGGGCCGTGTAGTAGCGGACGCCAAGGGCTGCCTGCAGCTGTGTCTGCAGGAGGTGGCCAATGGGCTTCGGAACCCCGTTGCCATGGTGCATGCTGGGGACGGCAGCCACCGCTTCTTCGTGGCAGAGCAGGTGGGGCTGGTGTGGACCTACCTGCCTGACCTCTCTCGCCTGGAGAAGCCCTTCCTGAATGTGAGCCAAGCAGTGCTCACCTCACCCTGGGAAGGGGATGAGCGTGGATTCCTGGGCCTTGCCTTCCACCCCCATTTCCCACACCCCAGCAAACTCTATGTCTACTACTCTGTGGGGGTCGGCTTCCGAGAGTGGATCCGTATCAGCGAGTTCAGAGTCTCGGCGGATGAGAACACCGTGGATCATGGCTCAGAGAGGTGGCTTCCTGGGAGCCCCAGCCAAGGGAGGGCTGAGTGATCACGTTGTGGGGGGGGGGGTAGCGTGACACACACAGTTGTGGCTGGATGAGCAAGTCTGTCTTAAATACTGTGAATATTCAACACCCCACGGGGGCCAGAATCACGTGCTCTGGGGCCTGGGGAAGAATGATTTTGCAAAACAGACAGGGCTTGGGGTCATGTCCCGACCCCTGCCTCTGGCCTCCTGAGCCAGAAGCTTAGCTCTATATTCGGCTGCAGGCTCTAGAGATAGTTACTCATCTGACTCATAAAACTGGATGAGGTCACAGCTCTGAGGGGAAAATGCCTGTTAGGTCACACAGCTTGGAAGCATCCATGCTGGAGTCCTGGTCTGTTCGCAGAAGTACGTTCTGTCACAGGGCTTGTTGGGCCCAGTGACCATTTCTGCCTTTATGGCTAGCATCTCCCCCAACCCCTCCATTCTTTGCTTCAGGCAGTTGGGGCCTGTCCAAGTCTCCTGTCCAAGTCTCTCTCTCCCTCTCTATCTCTGTCTCTGCCTCTCTCTGCCTGTCTCTCTGTCTCTGCCTCTCTCTGCCTGTCTCTCTGTCTCTGTCTCTCTCTCTCCCTCTCTATCTCTGTCTCTGCCTCTCTCTGTCTCTGTCTCTGCCTCTCTCTCTCCCCCTCCCTCCAGGGTTTTGTGTAGCCCAGGCTGACCTGGAACCTCCTATGTGTTGAAGACTGATCTTAAACTACTGGTCCTCTGTGTCTCTATCTTCTGAGTACTGGGCTTTGGTGACCATGTGCAGCTTTTACCCAATCTCATCTGCTCCTACTTGTAGGCCCCACAGTGCCTGCAGAACCTACTCACTATTATTTATGCCCCAACTGTTCCAAGGGGAGTTGACCTGGCTTGGCCACCTGTTCCAGAGACTCTCCTGGGCAGAAGTGAACACTGAAAATAAGAGTCATGGTTAGTAGTGTTGGAAGGGCAGTCTAGGAAAGGAGGCACTGGAGGAAGTTGCCTCTTTCTATTGCTGGAGGGACCCAGGGGACAGTGAAGTCCAGAACTGGGGGGTAGGTCTGGTTGGGGGCCATCCAGACTGGAGTCATGGGGGAAGGGCAGCTATTGTATAGAGATTGCCAGGAACACAAACAAAAACACCAGCACCACCCCTGGCTCCCCTAATGCCTTTTATTGGCTGAGATTGTTCAGCTAGCAAAGGAGCATGGGAAATGTAGTTCAGTGATGCTGCCTGTACCTACCCTTAAGTAAAGAGCAAGCAGGAACAAGGTGAGGCTCTGGTGTGTTGGTAAAAAGGCAAAGGAAAGGACACCATGTATTTGATGAAACTGTGAAATGTTGACATGGGGCATATAAAAAAAGAGAAACATCCCAAAACAGTAGCTTTGTGGGTTAATAGACATCTTGTCTTAGAGCAATTAATTTTGAGTTATCTGGAAGCTGGAGTTTACAAAAGAGGAGAGCCGGGCAGTGGTGGCGCACACCTTTAATCTCAGCACTCAGGGGGCAGAGGCAGGCGGATCTCTGTGAGTTCGAGTCTGGCCTGTAGAACAGAGCAAGTTTCAGGACAGGTTCCAAAGCTAGAGCTACCCTGTCTCCCCTGTTTGGAAAAACCTAAAAGAAAAAAAGAGGCGGGGGGATTGCACCCAAGCCTGGGAGGAAGTTTGTCCTATGGACCAGAGGGAGGGAAATAGAGGGTGAGATACATGTTAAGGGCATTTGCTGCTCTTCTGGAGGACCGAGTTCAGTTTCCAGCACCCACATGGAGCAGCTCATAGCAGACTATAACTCCAGTACCAGGAGATTTGATGCCCTCTTCTGGCCTTCAACAGTGCCTGCACATACATGGCAGGCGCGCGCGCACACACACACACACACACACCATTAAAGAAATCCTGAATTCAGAACATGAAGTATTAAGCTTCAGTAAGGTTCCTCTGGGCACATCGCACAGAACCTGATCTCTCAGAGGGACTCGTCGGCATGCCTGGCAGGGCTAGCAGCGAGCCATCATTGCTACCCAGGACATTTGTCAAGAGTCTTCCCATGGCTGGAGGAGGTGGGCAACCAGCAGCCTGAGCTGTCCTCTGCTTTGAGGACCCTGGGCTTGAGGCTCTGTAAGGGCCACATGCATGGAAACGCTCCAGTGTTGGTAACATGGCAAGGGCTCAGATCTGAATCTAAAGACCTTGGCTCTGTGTCTTGCTTTTTTTCCTGCTGTACTTTCATAAGGGACAATGAGATCAATGCACAGGCTGGTCCTGTTGAACCTGAACTCATTTTATTGGTGGTGGGGGGCTTTAGTACAGGCAATGACGCATGTGGCAGGCAGAGGGCTGCAAAAGGGCGGTGGAGGGCCAGTGACCTAAGTGGTATCTACTGGGGTGGAGGAACCAACAGGAGGAGATGGTGTGGTTGCGTTCTGCCATTGGCTGGGATGTCCACAGTGGTCATTCCCGTACCGCGTCTCTGTGTCGTATACCTGCTGCTTCTCAAGACAGAGTGGCCGCGCTTCCTTGCCCTGGCAAGCCCTGATGGGTAGCCAGCCGACTGGGTACAGGGAAGGTCCCAGGGGGTGTGGATAAAGGGCCCCTCCCACTGCCCTGAGCAGTTCATCACTAACAATCAAGGAAGCATGTCAAACACCTCTGTTCATCAATGGGAAGCAAGGTAAGGTACTGGAGGAATGGAAAGTTTCCACCACGGGTGGGAAGCAGTTGAAAAACACTGGCCCATTGTCCTGGTCCCAGCTGTAATGCTGATGGCCTTTGTGCCCTCGGGGGATCACTGAACTGCTTCCAGCATCCAGGTCCTTCTTCGACACAGTGACATGAATGGTCCCTACTCAGCCTATAGGTCCATGTGAAAGACAGTTACAAGAGAGAGAAAGTCTCTCCCACTGTGAAGTGGCATCCGAGAGAAGGTTTTACTGCTCTTCAGGGATTACCATTCGGAAGGTGTTTTTTATTGAGGGGCTACTTATCTCTCTTTAGGATAATCCTGGAGATTGAAGAACCAGCCTCCAATCACAATGGGGGCCAGCTGCTCTTTGGGAATGATGGCTACCTCTACATCTTTACCGGAGATGGCGGGATGGCTGGAGACCCCTTTGGGAAGTTTGGGAATGCGCAAAACAAGTATGCCCTGCTTCTGCTCTGCTGGGGCATTGGTTTGCAAACAGCTTCTTACATGTGTTTCCTTGTGTTTCCGAGGGAGAGCTACTGCCCCCACCACACAGAGCAGGGTGGTAGCCTGCAGTTAGCCGGGATCCCACCTCAGTCACTCACTCCCATTGATTGGCGAGGACAGTGTCAGTCTCAATGAGAGACTATCATGGGGAAAGGAGATGCTGGTGGTAGTCGAGTCAGAAACAGTGCCCATTGTCACAGCTGTCACAGAAGTGACAAGAGCGAGCCTGTGGGGAGACAGGACTTTCTCTAACGTGATCTCTGGCCTGCTGGGCCTGCTGGGGTGAGACAGGTCTTCCCACAACAAAGGGGGAGCTGGGGTGGGTCTCTAACTCCCAGAAGTTGAGTGTAATCCCATCTTCATTTGTCTATTTCCTGTTTTGAGCACATGGCCTGGCCTCCTTGTGTGTGTGTGTGTGTGTGTGTGTGTGTGTGTATGTGCGCAGGCGTGTAGGTGTGTATAGGCGTGTGTGTGTTTGTGTATATGTGAGTGTGTATGTGTGAGTGTGTGTGTACATTAGTACAGTTCTCCTGAACGACAAGCCGGATGGCGGCTTGTCCTAGCTCTGATGACCTCTATAAAGGGCAGCCTGGATCTGAAAGATCAGCTGTGAGGAGGTTATACTGCAGTAAGTGGTGAATTAGGGTTTCTAGCAGGGCTTGCTGCCCAGTGAGTGTGGGACAGACACGCCGGAGGGTGTGCAGAGAAAGCCAGTCCCGATGGCTGAGCAGGGCTGGGCTCAGAGATGGCTTACCCTTTCTGCCCACTCTGCGTGGACGCAGCGTAACCAGCGCTCTCCGCCCCAACCGCAGGTCGGCGCTGCTGGGCAAGGTGCTGCGCATCGACGTGGACCGCAACGAGCGTGGCCTGCACTACCGTATCCCGCCTGACAACCCGTTCGTGGACGACCCCGGAGCGCGGCCGGAGGTCTACGCGCTGGGCGTGCGCAACATGTGGCGCTGCTCCTTCGACCGCGGAGACCCGACGTCTGGCACTGGTCGTGGCCGCCTGTTCTGCGGGGACGTGGGCCAGAACAAGTACGAGGAGGTGGACCTGGTGGAGCGGGGCCGCAACTACGGCTGGCGTGCTCGCGAGGGCTTCGAGTGCTACGACCGCAAGTTGTGCGCCAACGCCTCCCTCGGTGACCGCGCCCCTGGGGACCTCCAAATAGGATCCTTCTGGTCCTCTCCCCTCCCCCTCCCCCTGACTCCCTGGCTCAGACCCTCGACATAGATCCAGTCTGTCCCATCCCATCCCCTTGGGGACTTCCCAACGGGGATCAGCATTCCTCCAGAACCCCAAACCTGGGTCCCGCATGCCCCACTCCTCCCTGGGCCCGCAGACCCAGATCTACCCCATTCCTCTGGGGAACTCCAATCCACATCCAACCCCTTTCCCTCCACTAAGAGACCCCATGGGTCACTCCCTCCCTCTCTCCCTGGACACTCCACCTCACCGCCTTCCCCACTGCCAAATAGCATTGTCCCCTGCCTCTTTCACATACGCCTCCCCACTCCTGGCCTCCCCGTACTTCGGAGGTCACTTCGAGCAGTGTGTCAGGTCCCTCCTCATCACGCACCTCCTGCTGAACCCTCAAAGAGGTTATGCCCCTTTCTTTGAGAGCTTTCCTCGCTCAGGCCACCCCACCCCTGTGTGTGGCTCGGGGCTGTCTGGGAAACGCTAGGTCTCAGGACGAACCCACTCTCTAACCCTCAGATGATGTGCTGCCGATTTTCGCCTACCCTCACAAGCTGGGCAAATCAGTCACTGGGGGCTACGTGTACCGGGGCTGCGAGAACCCCAACCTCAACGGGCTCTATATTTTTGGCGATTTCATGAGTGGGTAAGTGACCTGCATGGCCTACGCTCTCCATGACTGCTAAAAGGAACTTGTGTGTATGGGTGTGCTCAGGAGTGTTCAGGAGTGGGGCACACAGGGCTCTTTCTCAGGGAGAAAGTCGCGGTCGTTCTCAGGAATGGTGGGTAGAATGAATGGGTATGTGCAAAGACAGACAGGCAGATGGACAAGCGGTTGGAAGGATGAATGGATGGACGGGTGGATAGATGGACAAATGGGTGTGTAACTGGATGGATGAGTAGATGGATGGATGGAATTCCTTGTGCAACACACTAGCCTTGGCCTCACAGCTCATCTTCCTCTGTAGGCGACTGATGTCCCTTCGAGAGAACCCAGAGACAGGCCAGTGGGAGTATAGTGAGGTCTGCATGGGCCGTGGGCAGACATGCGCTTTCCCAGGCCTCATCAACAATTACTATCCGTATATCATCTCCTTTGCAGAGGACGAGGCGGGTGAGCACCCAGAGACCCCTCCTTCCTCTGCCCATGCTTGGGATTGTAACCACCAACCCTGGCCACCCCTCTGGCTTCTGACATTAAAGAAGCTTCAGCGTGAAAAGACTTTCCTCTGAGGAGGGCTGTGTCCTGAGGTTTGGGCTTTTTCCTTGTGAGTTCTTGAATCAGCCCTAGAACCTCTATTCCTGAGCTTCCCTTTTCTTATTTGGGAACTCAGAGAAGTGGCTGTCCGTCCTCCACCCCCGTGGTGGGGTTGACGGGGGAGTTAGACATAATGGGGACAAGTCCCTGGTGTTAGCAGGGTCAGGGAAGATCTGGAATATGGAATTGTAGGCTGGTGAGAGAAGAGCTGGGTTGCCGATGGCAAATTTATCTCAGCTACTGAGGGAACCATGTTGGCATTTTAAATCAGGCAGACACAGCCTTCTAACCGGTTCCCGGACCTCACATTCCCAGCAGGGGGCAGAGGGGGAAGGGAGAGAAGGAGGAACTGCGGAGGCTGGATCCCACTCCAGCATCCATCCGCTTTTGTCCTTGGCCCTGGGATTGTTCCCAGACAAAAGGCCAGGGGCCCCCAGCAGTCTCTGGAGCAGGCTTGTTGAAGTTTCCAGGCAACGCTCACCACGGCCTTTGGATGGGTATCCCCTGCAGGGCCCAGTGCCCAAAGCCCCCAGGGCTGAGTCTGGGAAATCTTTGTTGAACTGATTCCCCCCCTCATTAGCATGTGAGTTTCCCAATGGGCAGACCCAGCCCCAGCCCCCCGAGGCTCTTAGGCTCACCAAGCCCTAGGAAGCCTTTTCTTTTGGTCAGTAGGGGGTTAACATGATTTAGAAGCATCATTCCCCCTCCCCAGGGCAGAGACTGGAGGAAGGTGCAGTTCTCAAGGCCCTTCCTCCATCATTTGAGTGTCACAGAGTGACAAAACCTGGAGGCGGCGCTGGTGAGCTGGCCGGCCCAAGGCCAGCACCGGATGGATCAGTATCGGTGCTGCCAGCCAGGGCAAAACAGCCCCTCCCGGCTCCTGGCTCCCTAGCTGCGCTTTGGATACATCAAATGATGTTACCAGGACCTCTGCTGCCCCAGTGATCTTCAGGGGCATTCACAGCACAGAGACCAGGAGGACAAGGCCACCGCACGCAGCACTGGCAGCTTCAGCTTGGTCCTTATGCAAGCACGCATAGCTTCCCGATGATCACAGCTAGCAGAATAGCCCCCCCATCCCCCACTCCCCCAACCCCGGCTGAACTCCATGGAAGCAGGGAGTAGGGTAAGGCTGGGTGGAAGAGGGAGCCTCTGTGAGCTTAGGCAGGTTGAGACATCCGGGGGCTGTGCTGCTGGGGGATAAAGGCATGCTGAGGTTGGCGGAGGTCAGGGCCAGCCTCTGATCTGAGCCTGAGGGAGCCTGGGTGGGGTGGGGCTGCCTGCCTTGTTTGCTGGCCACGTTCTCAGTGCTGCTTTGTTCCCGTCCAAAGGGGAGCTGTACTTCATGTCCACGGGTGTGCCCAGTGCCACAGCCGCACGCGGGGTCATCTACAAAGTGATAGACCCCTCCAGGTGAGTCCCTTAACTGGGGGTCTGGCAGTCCATACTGTCTGCAGAGACAGTAAGTGAGTTCCCCCATCTTCTACCTATCCTCTCATCCCCCTCAGTCTACTGCTTAAGTCTTTGCTATGAGGCTCCCTTCTTGGTTCAAGGCCTCCTCCAACCCCTTCTGTGTATGCAAAGCCTTCTCGGCTTGCCAGCGTCCCTCACCGTTGGCAGCGTGCCCAGTGGGCACCAACCCGTAGCCTCAGGTGCCTTCCCTGATCCATTTGTCCCCCGTCCTCTCTCAATTGTCACCCCTAGGCCCTGGCATGCCCCCTGTTCAGTCTGTGTCACCTCACCCAGTCACACCCCTCAGGTGGTGGGAACGGTGCAGAGCACACACGAGGGTGTGTTTAATGAATGGTTACATGATGATCTTTCGGTTCTAGAATCCCTGTCCTGGACTGTAGAATTGCTGCTTCTCCCTCAGAGTAGCCAGTGACCCTAAACTTTGAGACACACTGGATGTAAAGAAATCCTAAAACACATACTGAACCTAAAAAAAAAAAAAAAAATGGTTTTTAACCAGACATGGGGTATATACTTGTAATCCCAGCTATTTAGGAGGCTGGGGCAGGAAGACGGCAAGTTTGAGGCTAGCTTCTGAGAGTTATAAGGTAACCTAGACAATTTAGTGAGGTCAAATAGAGATAGATAGATAGATAGATAGAGAGAGAGAGAGAGAGAGAGAGAGAGAGAGAGAGAGAGGGTGTCTAGGGGTAGGCAGACTAGGAATATAGAGAGCTTATCAGACATACAAGGTCTTGAGTCAGCTCTCTAGCTCATTTAAAAAATTTATTACGGTTTATTTATTTTTACTTTATGTGCATACGTGTATGTCTGTGTGAGGATTTTGGACCCTCTGGAACTGGAGTTACAGTTGTGAGCTGCCACATGGGTGCTGAGAATTGAACCCAGGTCCTCTGGAAGAGCAGCCAGTGCTAGCTGCCGAGCCATCTCTCCAGCCCCTCTCAGCTTACTTTTGCCGTCACTGTGTAGAAGACAAAGTTTACTGTTGAGTAGCATGAGGTACTTCCAACAGCTAGTGGTGCCATTGCAGAGGAGGCCACTCCCCGAGTGAGAGCGGCCAGTGGCCAGAAAGGCCACTGTGTAATGCCCATTCTCAAGGGGTGAAAGTGAACATGGATGGAGGGGTCAGTGGTCAGCCTAATGTTTGGGCAAGTTTTGTGCATTTTCTAAAGTCTCCAAAATGTGTGTGTGTGTGTGTGTGTGTGTGTTACATAGGTGTACGTGTGTTTGCATGCGTGTGGGTACACATGTGTGGGTGTGCACATGGAAGCCAGAGGTCAACAAAGTTCTCCACTTCGTATATTGAAGCAGGGTCTTTCTCTTGAACCCAGAGCCCATAATTTAGTAGTCTGGCTAGCCAGCTTGTATCAGGGATTCCCAGCCTCTACTGGGATCCCAACTTTGTGTGACAAGGGCTTCCACTGAGTCATCTCTCAGTTCCCTGGATGAACGCTCTCTCTCTCTCTCTCTCTCTCTCTCTCTCTCTCTCTCTCTCTCTCTCTCTCTCTCTCTCTCTCTCTCTCTCTCTCTCTCTCTCTCTGTGGTACAGGTTTTCTCTACTGTGTAGCTCTGTATGTCCTAGAACTCTTTATGTAAACCAAGCTGGACTCAAACTCAGAGACCCACCTTTCTCTGCCTCCCAAGTACTGGGATTAAAGGTGTGCCACCCCCGCCCAGCTGACGATGTAACTTCTTATCACGAAAGCCATGAGCATGCTTCCCCTCTATATGCCTCCATCTTGTTTTCCACAAGGTCCCTTCCACTTCCATCTCAGTGGCTTGTCCCTGAGGCGTGTCGTTGTCTTCACACGGCGTCTTCCCACCCAAAAAGGATGCTAGTCATTGTCTGCCGAGTCACCGAGCCATCATCATCTTGCATAGTTCTTGATGCTGAGGTTCTTTTCATTTTTAAAAAATGCTGGGGCTGGAGAGATGACTCAGTGATTAACACCCTGGCTGCTCTTCCGGAGGACCTAGGTGAGGTTTTCCAGCACCCACATGGTGGCCCACAACCATCTGTAGCCAGTTTCAGAGATCAGATGCCCTCTGCTGATGTCACTTTCTGGCCTTTAATTTTGCAACACCCTCTCCCTCTTGGTTCATCGTCCCTGCGTGTGGAGAGGGCCCAGAAGGACTTTATTTTTGTTTTTGTTTTTAACCTCAAGGCCTTGGGGTTGGAGGCAGGCAGAAGTGGGCAGGGCTCCTCCCTTTCATTTTTCTCTTTTGGAAGAAGTGTGTTTTGGGTAGCAGATTTGTGGATAAGGAAGACAGGAGGGAGACCCAGGGGCCACAGCTTCCTGCCCTAACAGAAGCACTGTGCTGTTTTGCAGTGCAGCGTACAAAGATTTTAAAAAATTTAATTTCCTTAAGAGACAACACCCTCCTCCCCTTACCCAATGAGAGGTCAGGGTAGAGATGGCTGTACTTCCAGCTTTGAGAAGTCTGTGTGTCTTGCAGAGGCACATGGTCCTTCCTCTGCCAAGTCTATCAGGAGGCCACTTAATCATGTGGCCATTTCAATCCCAGGCTGACGGAACCCCCATTGAAGTCCTGGGCCCACGTGGGGCAGTCTGGGAACAAGGTTGGACCCATTCAAAGAGTCGCAGATCAACAGCCAAAAACTAATTAAGATGGAATTCTGGCCCTTGCGTTTCTTCAGGATGGGGAAGGAGACTGTTCATACCCTGGCAACTTTTCTCAGATTCTTTTCTCTGAACTGCAGACCCCACGGCTGTGCTGGACCTGCTCAAGCCAGCTCCCCATGACTCCGATCTTCTGCCCACCATATCTTTTAGCTTGCCTTAACTGTCTCACATTTCTCCAGGCCTATGTACCACCAGAAACTCAGAATTTACAGGTAGAGAGAGAGACTCTTCATACAGGACTGGGGTGGAAGGGGTGGGCAGGAATGTAGCACTAAAGGATTGGGGTGGGCAGGAACGTGGAGGGACTTCAGAGGGGCTGAGTGCAGTAGAGCCCATTGTTGAGGTAGTCCTTAACTGCCAGCCTTTCAGCCCCAAACGGAACACATGGATTCTAGATTCGTTATGAAACTGTTGGCCGATGACTATTATTGGCTAGCTTTGTCTTAATTATCAACCCATTTCTATTAATCTAAATATTTTCATGTGATCTTATCTTACCGGAGAAGGGTCTGGACCTCTAACTCCTTTGGCGGCTCACATGGTGACTCCCTGGTGGGCTCCTCCTGCCGGGTGCCAATGCCTACCTTTCCCAGAATTCTCATCTCCTAGTCCTGCCTCTATTGGCCACAGTGTTTTATTCATCATCCAATAAGAGAAACATATATGCAAAGGACATCCCCATCAGCCCATGGTAAGGGGTGTTCAGTAGCTGGACACTAGTTACTGCTTGCTGTCTCTGATCACCCTTGTCTGGCCCTACCCTCTTTTCTGTAAGGGAAGGTGATGGGGTGAGGGCGAGCTTGCTCAAGCCTGGCTCCCAGTCCTGATCTTCTGTGTGTGTTTGGCAGACGGGCGCCTCCAGGGAAGTGTAAGATACATCCTGCTCAGGTGACAGTGAAGAGTCGCCTCATCCCCTTTGTGCCCAAGGAAAGTAAGTGTTCTCCAGTGGGAGAGGGAGTTCCCTACCCCTCAGGACAGATGGGGGTGGGGTGGGGGACAGAAAGACCTAGAATGCTTCCATAGCCCCTATACCTAGCACTACATCTGACACCTATTAGAGACCCAGTGAGTGTCAACCGACCTGCAAGTACAAGGCATCTTGTTTGACAGAGCCTTTAACCAGTTCCAGGTAGTAGGGAGGCAACCCCAGAGGGCTGCAGCCTCATCCAGGATGTGGCAAGGAGAGTATATCTGTATCAAGCTGTGATGGCTGCCTGGGATAGAGTCTTATGAAAGGGTAGAGGGGGCTGTTCCATTGGGTCTAAGTTATATAGGAGCAGTGGCTTAGGATAGTAAAATCTTTTCCAAACCAAGAGAAGAAGGCAATCCATTTGTCTCTCCATCAGCTCACCCATTCATCCACCGACCATTCATCCATCAACTCATCAGCCAGCCATCAACTCACAAATTCAGTCATCCATCCACCCATCCATTTGTCAATCTACCTATCATCATCTATCTACCTACTTGCCCACCCATCCATCAATATACCTATCCATCATTCACTCATCCATTCATCCACCCATCTACCATCCATTCATCCACTCACTCATAAATCCATCTATCATCATCTCTCTACCCATCCACCCAAACATTAATTCATCCACCAACATATTATCCAATTGCTCATGAATAGATCCATCCATTCATCATCTAAGCCATTATCCATCCATCTATTGACCCGTCCATTCACAAGTCATCATCCATCCAGCAATCCATCTGTCTTAGTTAGGGGTTCTATTGCCTTGATAAAACACCATGATCAAAAGCACCAAAGGGTTTATTTCTGCTCATAACTTTCAGATCACACTCCATCACTGAGGGAAGTCAGGAACACCTGGATGCAGAGGCCATAGAGAACATTGTTTACTGGCTTGCTTGCTCATGGCTTGTGCAGCCTGCTTTTTAAATAAGACTCAGAACCACTTGCCCAGTGTTGGCACCACCCACAATGGGGTGGGCTCTTGCCAATCTTTTTTTTTTTTTTTTTTGGGGTTATTGCCTTTTCGAGACAAGATTTCTCTGTGTAGCCCTGTACTGGGACTCATTCTGAAGCTATTGCTCACTTCCATCTTTGTGGTCTTTGTTTCCTCACGGAAAACTGCAGGAAGCAGTAAGTCCCTTGCTCCTGTAAGCTGTCCATGCATCTCCCACGTTGTGCCTGAATTTCAGGGTCTTCCCACTGGCCTGGGATTCCTGGGAGGGCAGAACTTGGAACAGACAGCAGTAGTGGATTGGCACAGCGCCTGCCTGCCAAGCAGGACTTGCTGAGTAATTTGAAGAAGCATCTGGCACAGCTCTAGGCTAGTGTCATGGGTAAGGGTGACCCGTCAAACCCAGCAGGCCCCCCAAGAGGCATCCTAATCTTGGGATCTCAGTGGAGCCAGATCAAGCATCTTTCCTTAGGATTTGTTTTCCTTGCACAGGCTGGGGGGCTGTGCGGGTGGAGAGCCGAGCTAGGCTGGAATAGCAGGTTCCCTCTGACCCCCAGGCCTTTCCTCTGCACAGGGTTCATCCGGACACCAGAGAGCACTCCGCATCCCACGGCCCGCGCCCCCACCAAGGCACCCCGCCGCAGGCGCCCCACGGTCGCTCCCCCAGCTCCCACCCTAAGGCCCACAAAGCCCACAAAACCCGCACGGCCCACCCGGCGACCAGGAGCCCGGAAGGGAGGCGGGCGACGGCGGGGACGTCCGAGCACCGCGGTCCCTGCGCCCCAGAACGGCTCGGTGCGCCTGGTTCGGCCCGCGGGCCTGAGTCCCGGCCGCGGACGCGTGGAAGTGTTTGTAGGCGGACACTGGGGCACGGTGTGCGATGACTCCTGGGACACCAAGGCGGCCGCTGTGGTGTGTCGCCAGCTGGGCTTTGCGCACGCGGTGCGAGCCACCAAGCGCGCAGAGTTCGGCGAGGGCCGCACACTACCGATCTTGCTGGACGACGTGCGCTGCGCGGGCAGCGAGCGCAACCTGCTGGAGTGCGCGCACGCTGGCGTGGGCACGCATAACTGTAAGCACGAAGAGGACGCTGGCGTCGAGTGCAGCCACCAGGACCCGGACCTGTAGACTGGCCTCACCTGCCTGGCTGTGCCACCTTGCCAGGATGGAACCTAGAATGGCCCCTTCAGTCTGCGGGCACCCTGTGCAAAACGCACAAGCCACAGTGCAGGGCCAGTGGCGGTTCATCTTCACGTGACCTATGTGACCTTTCTGTCTCCCTATGTGTGTGGTTCTTATCTCTCAGCACTTCGGAGAGCGAGGGCAGCCACTCTTCAGGAGCAGCGCTGACTGGGCGGGGGAGGCTGGCTGCCTTTACAGTGTTAGACTGAGGGAAGGGGCCAGGCCTCCCCTGCCAGGGCGGAGTGACAGGCTCCAGACCAGCAAGAGTGCAGCCTGAGAAACATGGTCAGAGTGTGGGCAGGTGATCCAGCATGGCAGAAAAAGAACAGGCAGTCTGAAAGCCACAGAGAAGGATCTTACAGGGTCAGGGGGCCTGTGGTCATTTGCAGCCCACCAGGGATCAGGCTGCTGAAGGGAATTAAGCACCCAGGAGGGAAGGAGGGCTAGAGGGCCGGGAGGATCTTGAAGGCCACTTGCTGGGCCTGGAAAGGCTACTGGGTCCCTTCCATCCCTGACCCTTACATATTTCTGAGACATAAGCACCCTTAGGCTCACACTTGGTCCCTTCAGCCTCTGGGCTCCAGTTGGGGGTGTGAGTGGGGCTCTCCTTTTATCCTCTACTGTCTCCATCACCTCCCAGGGGATCCTCAGATTCCTCAGCTCCAACTATGGGCCAAGAAGTCTGTGGGGCTACTTAGGCTGTGTCAACAGTTTGACTATTTACAATCCTTCCTCTCTCCTCTCATCACCGGCCACACACCACCCGGAAGCTGGGCTGCAAGGTGAGAGGGGCAGAGTAAAGGGGGCGGGGCCTGCAGCTCCGTGCCTGGTCCCTGCAGGGAGCTCTGGATAGCTGTAACTTCAGATAAGGGTAGGGCCAGGGAAGCAAATGAGTCACCAGGCAGGGAGGACAGGATGTGGCCTGTGTCAGGCAGTTGTGGCCAGGGATCTGGGTGAGGTTCCTGACCCAACCTTTGCAGGAAAAAGTCATTCCCGCACTGAGTTCTGATCTGAACAGGCCTATATGGTGTTCCAGGCTCAGTCTGGGTGGCATCTGCTCCTGCTCATCACTGCTGAGAGGGGAGCACTGCCGACAGGAAGCTGGGGGGGGGGGGCTGCCCTGGGCTGCTCTTCAGCTCTGGAGGCTGGTTGTTCTCAGAAGTAAGAAAGTTACTGAACTGTTAGGAAATGACAGAAAAGGAAAACATCGTTTCCCGGGGCAAAGCTGTGCAGCTCAAGGCTGGGGGGCTGGGGAGCCTGTATCCTAGACTACTTTGCAGTGCCATTCCAGGAGGGGTTGCGGAGTGTCTACACGATCTATTCTGGTTCTTGATAGGAGGGGGAGGCTTGGACGTGGAGGATACTGAGCAGGTAGTTTGTCAGGAGTAGCTGGGAAGGTTTGTTGTTGGTTGTTTTTACTCTTTGCTCTTTACTCTTTTGGGGGGCCGGACACCAGCTCCCAAGTAAATACAGAGGTTTATTCTTTCTTTTGAATGTCTGACCTTAGCTTGGCTTGTTTCTAGCCAGCTTTTCTTAACTTAAATTGTCCTGTCTACTTTTTGCCTCTGGGCTTTTATCTTTCTTTATTCTATATGCCTTTCTTTCCTCCTTACTTCACGGCTTGGTGGTGATTGGCCCTTGATGTCCCCGTCTCCTCCTCTTTCTGGCTCCCGGATCTCTTCTTCCCCGATTTCTCCTATTTATTCTCTGTGCCTTCCAGCCCTGTCTATCCTTCCTCCTGCCTAGCTACTGGCTGTTCAGCTCTTGATTAGGACCAACCAGGTGTTGTAGGCAGGCAAAGTGACACAGATTACAGAGTTAAACAAATGCAACATAAAAGACTGCAATACAGCTTTGCATCATTAAACAAATGTTTCACATCATAAACAAATGTATCATACCTTCAACTAATATTCTACAACAAAAGCTCTTTCAACCTTCAACTCCCAGGATACCTGTGTCTGCCTCTTTTTTTTTTTTTTTTTTTTTTTTTTTTTTTTGAGACAGGGTTTCTCTGTGTAGCCCTGGCTGTCCTGGAACTTGCTCTGTAGATCAGGCCGGCCTTGAACTCAGAGATCTGCCTGCCTCTGCCTCCTCCCTAGTGCTAGAATTAAAGGCTTATGCCAGTGCCGCCTGGCTCGCTCCACCTCTTACACACAGTAGACTAGAAGGGGGTCCTGTGTGGCCTGAGGGCAGCCAGTCATTTAACTTCTCTGAGCTCATGGGAAAATGGAGGTAATAAGTTTTCTGTACTTTAGGTAGCACTGGGCTGGAGATATGGCTCAGCCGTTAAAGGCTAGGCTCACAACCAAAAATATAAGGTAGCATTACAGGTGTAACAAGTGTATTCCATGAATCTTTTGAACAGAAGGCTCAGTGCTGACTTGGTGACATCTATGCTGTCGACTGTGTGAGGGGGGCGAGCCGTATGGAGGGACTAGCCTTGGGGTATCTTAGGAAGAAACATGCCAAATAAGAAAGGTGAGCCCCTTCAAGCTAACATGGAGAACTGCAGGCTTCCAGTTGGGCGTCTGGCCTCTCACCCACTTCTTTGTGAAGAAGCAGCCTTCATGCAGAACTTGCAGTTTGCCAGGAGCCTCAGGTGTGTCAGTTCCCTTCGCCCTGATGGGCCCCCAGCATCCCCCTCTCTCCGTCCTTATGGTGGCTGTAAATTGGTGCTCCGGGCTTTGGTGGTGGTGTTCCATCTTAGCAGTAGAGGGAATGTTCCCAATACAGGGGACATTTATGATGGTAGTTTGCAGAGACAGCACAAAAGAGTGGAGCGCCCAGTCTTGATTTGGACACAGTTGCCGGTTTTGTTGTTTGAGTTCCTGTGTGATGGGACTGCTGTGACCTTGTGCTCTGGATGCTCCGGGGGGGGGGGGTGGTTGCAGTCTGTGCTCCACTGTCCCACAGAAGGGTGGGAACCACGGGGGCAGCCGAGTTGCCTAAAGCTGTGTTAAGAGTAAAACATTTTTTTTACTCTCTAATTAAAAATTATTTTATAAGCTGGGCAGTTGTGGTTCATGTCCTTAACCCCAGCTCTCAGGAAGCAGAGCCAGCAGAGTCTACAGAGTGAGTTCCAGGACAGCCGCCAGGGCCACACAAAGAAAGCCTGTCTCAAAGCAAAAAACAAACGAACAACAACCCACAAAAATATTATTTTATGTGTATTGGCGTTTCGCATGTATGTACGTCTGTGCTCCTTGTGTGTGCCTCGTTTCTGCTGAGGCCAGAAGAGGGTATCGGATTCCCTGGAACCGGAGTTAAACATGATTGTGAGCCACCATGTAGGTGCTGGGAACCAAACCTGGGTCTTCTAGAAGAGCATCCAGTGCTCTTAACGGCTGATTCATCTCTCTTCACTTTGAAATATTTTATTTAATACAAAATATTCAAAATATTTTAGCAGGCAGCTAATACAAAATACCAAGGCTGAAGAGACGGCTCTATTGGTGAAGTGTTTTGTCTTATATACAGGAGGACCTGAGTTTGGTCCCCAGAACCCATGGAAGTATACATCGGCACTCATACACAAATATATGATCAAATACTAATGACTTAATAAAACTTCTAGGAGCTTGGCATGGTGGCGTACGTACACTTGGAATCCCAGCAATGGTGAGGTGGAGTTGGAGACTGGCAAACCCCTGGTAGTTCAATGGCCAGGCAGCCTGGGCCGCTTGATAAAGTTCCAGGCCAAAAACGGACCTTGTCTCAGATAATAAGATGCTCCCAAGAACTGATTGATCTCCAAATCCATGGGCATCTCCACCACACACACACACACACACACACACATGTATGGATGACTTGAAAGCAACTTCTGCCAGGCGGGAGAGGTGACTTGGCATCCTGTTCACACCTGTGGCCCAGCTCCAAGAGGGAACAGAGACAGGATTGCTGGCTTGTAGCAGGCTTTCTTTTGGGCCCCCAAACAGCTCCCAAATCATGACACAGAGACTCAATGCTCGGCCTTACCTTAGGCTCATTTCTTGCAAGCTCTGTAATATAATTTAGCCTGTACTCTTCATTTATGTTTTGCCTCAGGTTTTTTCTTTTATTCTGCAGGTCCTATCCCATGTCTGGCTGTCTGCTACATGGTTAGGTGGGCCCGGGCTTCTCCCTCTCTTTCTCCTTCAATGTCTCCTCTCTCACCGCCCCCCCCCCCGTTCCTCCTCCTCCTTCTCGTTGTTCTCTCTGCCCACCAGCTTTGCCTATCCCTCTACTGCCTAGCTATTGGCCGTTCAGCTCTATTAGACCAATCAGGTGCCTTAGGCAGGCAAAGCAACTCATCTTTACATCATTAAACAAATATTCTGCTACAGAAACACATGAAACATCATCTCCTAGTTAAAGTAATATTTCAGAACACTGGTTTCTAGCCTAGTTGAGAAAATGTGAGTCCCAGTTCCATGGAGAGACTGTCCCAAAGGATTAGGTGATGGGTGATAGGGACCTGACACCCTTTTCTGTTCACACACACACACACACACACACACTATTAAAGTCCTGAAATCTGGTATGTATTTTACACACACATATATACACACAATACGTATTTGAACTATGCCTCTTTCAATTGATAGTCTCATGTGGCCTGTGGCTACCCTATTGGGTGATATTAGTCTAGATCTCAGGGGAGGGGCAGGTGACAGGCAGGGTGCTTTGCTGGCCATTGGCCACCTGCTCAGTAAGGCCAGTCAGCCAGCCCTGGGACCTAGGGCCTTGGTGAGCTGCCCCCAACTAATTACAGAGAGTTAGAAGCATTAGTTGAAGGAACAGGAACAGAGTGGATGTGGGGCCTGGGAGGCATCACTACTGACAGGAAGTGTGTGTGTGTGTGTGTGTGTGTGTGTGTGTGTGTGTGTGTGTGAGAGAGAGAGAGAGAGAGAGAGAGCTGGACCTGCTGAGCCACAGGTCCCAAGTAATGCCTGATGTTTCAGAGACTATTGTTACCTCCTCCTTCCTCAGCTTTTCTAGTGTGGAAAAGCTCAGACTGTCCACAGTCCATCAGAACCTGGTCTTGCCTCCGGGGAATCTCTGTTCAGAGAGCCCAGACAGACAAGACAACACCAAGTTAGCTTCACCCAGCTCAGGGTGGGGTTTCATAACAGACTCCTCTGTGTCCCCCTCCCACAGTATTGAACCCAGCACCCTGCACTGTGCATTTACAGGCAACCCTAACGCTAACGCTAGATTGCTTACCCTTTTTAAAGTTTTAAGAAAGGGTGTTAAGTTGCCCAGGCTGGCCTTGAACTCTCAAGGCCTAGATTTTTTTTTTTTTTTTTAAATTGAGACACTATGTAGCCCTGGCTGTCTGTGTGGTCCCTGGCCTGCTCTGCTTTCTGAGTGCTGAGATTAAGGTGTGCCATCGAGCCTACCTAGTCTAAAACTTTTGACCCTTCCTCCTGTGCACATCACTCTGCCCACACCTTTCTTTTTCTATTTCTTCCACTCACCTGAAAGCAGGGAAGACGTCAACACCCTCCTCGAAGCGCAATCTCTCCCACCATACTACCCCCACCCCCCAATCCAGGCGCTCTCACAAGTGGCTAAACCACATTGGCTGACCTTCCTCTGCCCCCAAGCAGAGGCCATCCGAGGTCCCGCCTGCGAACCTGCGACTGCCGCTCGCTACCACACGGGGGCACACTGGCAATCTACATTCCTCCAGTGCCACTCAAGCCAGTCCCGGTTCGTCGCTTGGCTTCCAGAACTGCTCTGGCTGCGACGGCTTCTCCAGGCTGAAATCAAGCCTCTTCGGTACTGAGCACAACTCCTAAAGCTCTCTGTCACCCTGCAGTTCACCCGCCTCTGCTATGTCCCTCCTGGGGCCTGGCTCTATTATACCTGACAATGTGCGTACATAGCTCTACTGTTTGCCAGCCTTCAAACCGCCCTAGGACCTATTCAAGGCGGGGTAGCGGGAAATCCAGCTTCTGCTGCTGTGTTCAGCCCCCCCCCCACTCTCCAGCACCTAGGCTCTTTATGGGTCTAGGAGAGTGCACATCTGGACCTCCTTCCATCCACTGCAGGCCACAGTGAGCATCGCCGCGGAATTGAAACTGGAAGTGAGGCGCGCTGCGCGCTAACACCCGACGAAAAGGCGGAGCACACACCAGCATACTTCTGTGAAGCTTCACCCGCAGTCAGGATCAGGGGTTCTCCGGATCTGGGGACTCCTGCGTCCCGCCTCTGGGCGGACGCGGGCGCACGGCTTGCACCGGACGGCAGTGGAGGCGCAGCGCAAGGACATTTGGGGATGACCAATGACCAACTTTGTTGCGCTGCGGTTCCAGGGAGAGGTTTGGGAAACAGTCAGCGTACGACGGGAACTGGACGGATGGGGTAGGGTTTCCAGAAGGTTTGCGCGAGAAAAGAAGACGCCTGGAACGCACGCGGAGAGGCACTTATAGGTGCCAAAGGGGCGGAGCCAGCGGGCAGGATTTGCGCCACCGCCAGGGCAGCGTGTGCCCAGGAAGCGAGGTTGCCAGGACAACGCGTTCTGGGCGGGGCCAACTTCGGGGCGGAGCCTGAGCACAAGGGAGGGGAGAAGGGGCGGGGTGTTGGGGTCCGAGAAGAAAGCGAGGTCGTGATTGGGGAATACTTCCTGCTCTGGGCGGGAACGGCGTGGCAGCTGGGGCCGGGCCTCGAAGAAGGCGCGGCTGTGCGGGGGCGGGCTCTGCGAGCCGGAGCCGGAGGCGGAGACGTGGTTGGCGGGTCCGCGTGCCCGGGGCGGGGTCGAGCAGGCGGGGGCGGAGCCGAGCGGCGGGGGCGGTGCTGGCGAGCGCGGGGCCTGGGGCCGAGGCGGCGCGCGGCGCTGACAGCTAGTTGGTCGCGGCCTCCGGCCCCCTCGGCACCCGGTGCCGACCCCGGCCGGGTCCGGAGCCATGAGCCCGGGGCTGCTGCTGCTCGGCAGCGCCGTACTGCTCGCCTTCGGCCTCTGCTGCACCTTCGTGCATCGCGCTCGCAGCCGCTATGAGCACATCCCCGGGCCGCCGCGGCCCAGGTGAGCGGGGGGTGGGGGTGGGGGCCTGGCTGGGGAGCTCGATCCGGGGAGGGGGGCTAGGGACCGAGTCCGAGCCCGCGTCCGGGCCGGGGGTCCGGCTTCGCCTTGTACGCGCGGCCAGTTGGGAGACGCAGGCCCGGAGAGGGGCGCTAACTATTCTTAGTAACAAATTACTCACAGCCGCAGCAGATGCTGGGCGCCCACCGCGCTTGGCTGGGCCGCACAAATGTGACGGCAGCGACAGTCCTGTCAGGTAGGCGCTGCTGTTACCCCATCGTTCAGACATGGAGACTGAGGCGCCCAGAGGCGAAGTCACCTGCCCAAGGTCACACAGTTGGTAAGCCTAGATTTAAGCCCAGGTCAGCCTGCATTCAAAGTGGAAATTGCTAACTTTGGGACTTGGACCGGGCCAACCTGTTCAAGTATAGAGCACTGTACTTTCGTCACATTTCCGTGTCTTTGTTTCTGTCCTGGGACATTCCATTTGTCCTCAGTATTTCCATTCCATTCTTGGCTCTTACCCAGTTTACCAACGGCTCCCATTAAAAGCGTACCTTCCTTTTCTTTCTCCAGACAAGGTCTCTGCTGGAACTCACTATGTAGACCAGGATGGCCTCAAACTCACAGAGAGATCCGTCTGCCTCTGCCTCCCCAGTGCAGGGATTAAAGGCATTCGCCACCATGCCAGGCAAAAGCTTTCTGAATGAAGCTTAGAGTCGATGTGTTAAGGCAGGGTCCCAAGGGCTTCCCATCACTTTAGAACTGAAAAGTCCAGTTCCATGTGAAGCATATGGCACATAGCTAGCAAGACCCCTGCTGAATTCACAGTCCTGTCCCCAGTCTGTCCCCTACATCTCTCCATTGGACCTTTCCGTTCTCTTTCTCAGTCCTGTGGAAGCTATCCTCTTGGTCTCACATCAAACAGGGTGACGACTTCCAGGGCCACTAGCCCTGAAGTCACTCACCTTCTCCCTACCTGTTGACTGCCCCCATCACAGAATGTGAGCCCCAGGAGGGCAGAGATGCTGTGTTTGCTTGTGTATCCCCTTTGCCTGGCGTGTTTTGCTTGCTCAATAAATATTTGTTGAACAAATAAATGAACAGTGACATCAGACACACTTTTTAAGGCCTCTGGACATGAACATTCTGGATGGTACCATCTCCTGCATGGCAGTCTGAATTCCTGCTTCCGGATTCAAGAGTGACCTCTGTGGTTGGTGACAGAGGGGGACAACTTTTCTCTCCCCCGGCTCTCTGCCGTCCCTGTGCCCTCTCTCTGACCTTGGTGTGTGTGTGTGGGGGGGTGGGTACCTGGGTCCCCTACACCTTGCTTAGCACTGATGCCTTCCACTCCACCTACATAGGCCTTCCCCTGGCCATGATGGCTTGACTGGAATGCTAACCCTTTAGGAAGGGGACCCTTCTGTTGAACCCCTGAATGTATTATAGTCATCTCGTAGATCTTAAGTCACTGGGCCACCTCTTGTTAAGTGTCTGTCTCGTTCACTGTGGTATCCTGAACGTCTCTCCCAGTAGCATCTGGCTCATGCATGTGATTCAAAGTTGGATGGTGGAATCTCCAGGTTCTGTTTCCAGGCTATCCATCCACAGCTCAGAAATGAACAAGCTTCTGTTGTTCTGACACTCTCTTCCCCTAAACTCAGGGGCTTCGGGCCTTTCAGAACTGGTTGGGCTGGTGTCCAGCTCCCTCCCTTAAAAAAAAAAAAAGCCCAAAACATGATATGATGTGCATACTTTAAAGTCTACCCTTTCAAGATGTTTAGCTGAGCCAGAGTTGCATAACCATCATCAGTAATTCTAGAACATTCCTGTCACCCCCAGGAGAAATCTTGTCTAGCATGGCCTGTCTGCCTGCCCCAGCATCCCTAACACTGGTCTGCATCTGTCTGCATGGATGGCCTGTGCTAGACGCTTCACACGAATGAAGCCACGCAGTCTGGAACCTTTTGTGTCTTCCTTTTCTCACTTAGCATAGTGAGTTCAAGGGTCTTCTACGGAGCAATATGTGTCTGTCTTTAGTTTGCTTCTATTGCTGTGAAAAGCAAAACAAAAAAACCCCAATGACCAAAGCAATTTTTGGAGAGAGGTTTACTTCACCTCGCAGATTACAGTCCATCATCTGAGGAAATCAAGGCAGGAGCCTGGAGGCAGAGGCCACGGAGGGTGCTGCTCACTGGCTTGGTCCCCATGGCTCACACTCAGCCTGCTTTCTTATACAACCCAGGGTCGTTTGAGTGGGGATTGCACCACCCATAGTGGGCTGGGTCCTCCCATGCCAATCACTAATCCGAGGAAACGCCCCATAAACATGCCAACAGGCCACTATGATGTGGCCATTTTCTCAATGGAGGTTCCTCCTTCTCAGATGACCCTTGCTATCTGTTAAGCTGTCGAAAACAAACAAACAAACAAAAATAACCAAGTTCTGTTTATGTTGTCATCACCCCCCCTTACACCAGAACCTGCTTGTGACTTGCAGGTGTGTTGAGGGCAGAGCAGTGTGAAGGGGTCGACCATAATAACCAGGCTAGGCTCTCCAGTGGGGGGGCTGAACAATGCATAACTTCCAAGAGTTGGGCTGATGGTCAAATGTAACACTAAAGTTTTGCAATGTCTTCTAGCATAAATAAGTAAGGCCCCGGCAATCAAAGTTGGGACTCACCAACTGTGACTGGCCGTCCTGTGGCGGATAGGAAACCTGTGTGACAGGGTCCATCCTTTGGTGTTCCAGCGCTTTGCCAGCTTGCAAGCAAGGAGCCCTTTGTCTGCAAGAGGCAACTGCTGCACCCCCAGCCTGCCCTCCATCCTCCTTTCTCTGCAGGAGGCCCTCCCCGAATGGGCCTTCTCTGTTGTTGAGTACAGCATCCCACCACACTGATCTGTGTAATAGCTGAAGACTGAAGCCATGCATTCTGATCCTGCACAAACACTTCCTGTCTCTTTATTCCTCGGTCTCGGCCGTGAACTTCCTCAGCCCCAGCTGGCCTGGTCCTGAGCAGTGGCTGCAGCTGAAGGATGAAATGTCTCCTTTAACCTACTTTTGATTAATTTTTGGGTAGATATCTTGACATTATCTCCTGGATGGTCTGATGGCGGCATTGCTAGTCTTTTGTTCCCACTCAGAATTGCTGGTTCATGAGTTGTCTAGGATGGGGACTCTTCTACAGAGAATGTACAGGGCTTAGGCATGGGAGAGCCTTACTCTGGTCCTGTTATGTGGTACCATTCAGTGACTTTGAGTTCCCAGCTGAGCATCCGGTACCTCTGGTACAAGACACTCACATGGTTCTTACCTGCAAACATTTGTGGTAGATAGCCAGCTCCTAACCATTGTGGTGACATTCCTCGGTGACCTCACAGTGGGACCTCCAGATGGCTACTGCCATAGAGCCATGGAACTGTTAGATGGCCAGCTGGCCAGTCACTCTTATGGGGAAAGCAGATATGCTGGGAAGTATGCCCTGCCCTGCCCTGCCCTTCCCTGTGCACCCTGCCCACCTTGCCCTGCCCTGCCCTGTCCCGCCCCTCCCCGCCCCTCCCCGCCCCTCCCCGCCCTACCCTAAGCAGTCTATCACCAGGGCTGAGACAAGTGGCTTTTGTCTGGGTGGGCTCCCAGTGTTTACCTTCACAATCTTACGTGCTGGTTTCCAGGGCCAGGTCTTCCTGTGTGTTTTCTCCCTTTCGCCCCCTGCTGGAGTCAGAAGGAACAGCCTTTAGTTCCTTTTTTTTTTTCTGCCCGGCCTTGCCAGCTTGCAGTTGACCTAGGTGTAGACTCTGGGTCAGACAGGCCAGGAGGATAAAGAGGACCCAGACTCACAGAGGGGTCTCAAAGCCGAGACATCCCCCACTCCCCCAGGATGCATAGTTCTAGGAGTGACAAACAGAAGATTCTGGAAATGCAGCACCATAGTATGTGATACCCAGGACTCATCTTTATCCTGCTCCTGGTTGGGCACGACCTCAGTTACCCTATACTTCCTGCTCCAGCACATTCGCCCACCCCCTCTCCCGGCGGCTCTCTTGTCTTCTCTCAGCCATGATGCCTCCCCCTCCAATCGCGTGCTCAGCTTTCATTCTAGCCTCCTACTTCCCCCAGCAAGTGGAGCAACGGGGGGGGGGGGGGGGGGGGGTCCTGCCCTGACCTCTGCTGCCCCGCCATGCATGGGCCCCTTCCAGCTGCTCTTGTGGGAAACCACTGATGCTTTGACCAAGGCCAGCCTGTCCCCTGGCTCAGCGACCCTCCCCCAGCCTCCCCCCACTCCTGCCTACACCACTGGTTTTCTTCTTACTCCCCCATCTTTATATAACTTGCTGTGCCAATCTCTGCCTTGAAAAAGCCTGTCTCTCCACCCTCTTGTCAGCCCCCCCCCCCAGTTTCTGCCCCTGCAGCACACCCTCTAGCAGAGCCTCCCCGTGGGCCTCCGGTCTCTTCCCATTGACTTTTGAACTCACTCTCCTTAGTTTTGGCCCCTGCTTCTCTACCCATGTTGCTGAAGCCAATGCCAACCCCAGATGCCTACCTGTCCCCAACCCCCATCCGTGCCCTCACAGACTGGGTCACCTCTACTCACTCCACTCTGCTGCTTCCTACCTGGTGGCAACTGCTCACATTGGTCACTGTCTCTTTTTTCTGTCCCCAAACATCCCTGGCTTCATCTGGGTACTGGCTGAAACATGGCACCGTCCTGTGAACCCTCAGCCCTGAGTTTAGCATGGAGTTGCCCCTAGACTCCAGATGTTTCACAAAGCTCTGCTTTGTGCTTCTCAACCCTCCTAATGCTGTGACCCTTTAACACAGTTCCTCATGTCGTGGGGACCCCCCCCCCACACACACCATAAAATTACCATCTTTGCTGCTTCATAACTGTTATGAACCATAACATAAATGTCTGACATGCAACCCCTGTGGGATTGTGGCCCATAGGTTGAGAATTAATCCTGTAAATCCTTCTTTCTTAGTCCCTAGACTGGCACAATCTAGTGGGCCCGCAGCCATGCTTCTGATTCATCTGCCTGTCTTAAGTATTGGTCCTGAAAGGAAAGGAAAGTAGCTCATGGGGTCAGGTGACCCAGGTTAGGGGGTGTTCATAGAGAAGGAAATTAAGCCAAAAAAGCAAGGGACTTCTGGGAAACTGAGGCACAACTTTCCTTGTAACTCTTGGGGTTTGTGTGGAGCACATGTCCTGTAGATGTCCTGTGGTTTGCGGAAGCAGGGTCACTGATGGCTCCTGCTCCTCTTGTAAGCAGAGCCCGAGAAGGCCCTGGCACAATTGCAGAGTATGCACGATTTCTCTGCGCCCATAGGCACGACTCATCACCTGAGTAAATGGTAGATTTCCCCATTCAGCTAGCTGCTGTCCCTGGCCTCTCACTGAGTACGTCTATGCTCGGCTCTGTCTCTCTCTCTCTCTGGCCCTGCCCCGGTCTGCTGCTCTTTACCTCTAAACCCCTGGTACCTCTGATTTTGCTGTGAACCTTGACCTGCCCTCACTTCTGATGTGGCTAAAAAGGATCCATTTAGGACTGTGTCAGACCCTCTCTGTGCTTTGCTTAAAACCCTCCAGTGACCCACACCCCATCAAGGTCAGGGTCCACAATGCCCTCCAGCGTCTTCCTGCCCACCTTGGTGATGCACAGTGCACAACTGCCTCTTGTAGCACTCTGCCCTAGCAAGTGTGTCTTCCTGCTGTCCAAGCACATACTTACCTCAGGGCCATGGTACCCGCTGTTCCCATAGTCTGGAGTGTTCTCCCCCCATTTATCTGTGTGCCTAAATCTCTCACAGCTTCTGTGTCCAGCCCATAGGCCATCTTTCGTGTGTGTGTGTGTGTGCGTGTGTGTGCATGTGTGTGCACTGAATGTATGTGAATTTGTCATCTGTGTATATAGTGTGTGCATGTAGAGGCCAGAAATATGAGATGTCTTCTTCAGCTGCTTCATACCTTATTTCTTGAGGCAAGGCCTCTGGATCTCCGTAGTTTGGATTCACCAGTAGGCCGTGAGCACCCTCTCCCTGGCCTCCCTCTCTTCAGCGTGGTGATTGCAGGGCGTTTTCTGCCATGCCTCACTCTTCTTTCTTCCCTTTTCACACAGTGCTTGGGATTAGATCTCAGGCCCTCATGCTTCCACACCACCCTCTTAACAACTGAGGCACCTCTCAGCCCCCCCCAGGGCCCCCGTAGAGGAGACGCTCCTTATCTGTATTAAATGTCACCCCCACCCACCTGTCCCTGAGGCTCTACTGCTCTATTTATCCATCGCCACTGTTAGCGTTCAGGCATCTGCGCTGGCCTGTCCTTGGGTTCTGACAGGATACGCCCTCAGCTGCAGCCGCTAAGAGCACCACCTGTGCATATTTACCATGTTCCCTTTTAAAAGGGCCCTGCCCACCTCCCGTCCTTCTCTCTCTCTCTTTCTCCCTCCCTCTGTCTGTCCCCCTCCCCTCTCTCCTCCTCTCTCCTCTCTCCTGCTGCTCCTGCCTCTGGAGGCCAGTCTCCCCCATCCCCTTTCCCCCTTTTATGATCCCTTCCCCTAATAAAAAGCCCCTCTGCTTGAACCTGTCTCATAGGGTCTTTCTCTCACATGCTACTTCCTTAAATGACAGCAACCACCCCAGCTGGAATCTCTAGCCCAGGTTGGCTTAAACTTTATGTAGCTGAGGATGGCCTGACTTCCAACCCTTTTGCCTCCCCTATCCCATCCTGAGCCCTGGGGCCAGGACAGATATGCACACCACACCTCGTTTATGGGATTCTTGAATTCTGTGGAAGCAGAGGATTCATGTAGGTTAGGAAAACTCTCTGCCAGGCAAGTCACATCCCCAGCCTGACTTCTTTTCTGTGTCACCAGATTATCTTATTTTAGTATATTCACTGCCGAAGCAGAACTCTCTGGCATATTATTTATTTACTGTCTTTTGGTCTCTTCCTGAGCTCTATGACCTAGAATATTCCAACTGTAATTTCACTGCAACTCATCCAAGAGGCCTCAGTGAGCAAAGAAGAATAAAATCACACAGCATGTGCCCTTGAAATGTACATCAAGGTGACAAGCAGGTGTTCTTATGATCTGCGCTCACACTGAAGGCCATATATAGTGTCCTCTGGTGAGAAGGAAGCTGTGGAGCCCCTCCTGGTACCTGCTGCACACTCTAGGCAAATGGCATCGCCATGCCTGTCTCTGCTCACCTATACATGACGATGATAATGGTTATTGTGGTGTGTAACCTGGCCAGGAGATGCTAGTGATTGTGGGCAAGGCTTAGTGTGGGGCCTAGCACATGGTGAAAATCCTATGAGTGCCAGAGGCCACTGAGTCCTTCCCTGATAGCAGCTCTGGACCTCTGACAAAAGGGACAGAGTAAGACTGCTCTCTGAGGAAGCCTTTGGTACCCATTCCCATTGCACCAGGGTCTGAGGATGTCTTTGGTACCCATTCCCATTGTATAGGATTTAAGGATGCCTTTGGTACCCATTCCCATTGCTCCAGGGCTTGAGGATGCCTTTGGTACCCATTCCCAGCTCCAGGGTTTGAGGTTGCCTTTGGTACCCACTCCCATTGTGCAGGGTCTGAGGATGCCTTTGGTACCCATTCCCATTGTGCAGGATTTAAGGATGCCTTTGGTACCCATTCCCATTGCTCCAGGGTTTGAGGTTGCCTTTGGTACCCATTTCCATTGCTCCAGGGCTTGAGGATGCCTTTGGTACCCATTCCCATTGCTCCTGGATTTGAGGATGCCTTTGGTACCCATTCCCATTGCTCCAGGGATTGCACCATCAGCACCTTCGCCTGGTGCCCTCAAGCCAGCACTACGTCTCCTCCAGCCTCAGTTCCCAAGACCATCTCAGCTGCTCCTGAAAGGGAAGGGTACCCTTTGAGGGTGACCACAGCCAGGCCTGATGTTTCCCTCTCTTCTAGCTTCCTTCTGGGGCATCTCCCCTACTTTTGGAAAAAAGATGAAGATTGTGGCCGTGTGCTCCAAGATTTGTTTTTGGATTGGTGAGTTCCAACTTGTCTCTTGTTCTTTCCCTGGGTCTCTCAGTGGGAACCCCACTTTGTCTAACCCACCACAGAAACTCTCAGCCTGCCTACTCTGCCCCAAGTCTCTCCCAGTCCCTATCCCAGTTCAGTCCCTCCAGCTGGGCACTCCCGGTACCTGACCTGACCCAGGGCACTCCTGCTCAGCAGCATCCCTGAGCATAGAGGCAGATAAGGCAATGTGAAGCCAAGATGTTTTGTTGACTAACCGAGGCGTCTTAGGATAGCTGTTAGGATCTCTAAGCCTCAGTTTCCCCATCAGCAAACTGCCTTGGTGTGCAGGTAACCATCATTGTTTGGGGTGTTATTCTCTATCTTTCAAAACACTTCTAAATGCATAATTTTGCTTAATTCCCAGCACAAACTTTTGTGGGCAGAGGAGGGTGTGGAAAGAGAGTTTAAGGGACTGAGTTAACAACAGAGAAGAGACACACATGCCCCGCCAGGCCTCCTGGGCCCCAGAAGAAGCTCTTGCAACTAGGGCTGAGTGTCTCTTGGAAAGGGATGCCTCTGCCCCTCCTGACAGTGGGGACCTCTGAGCCAGGGGTGATGGTATTCAGGCCTGGGGAACTGACAGTCACTTTGTCTCCCAGGGCTAAGAAGTATGGCCCTGTTGTGAGAGTCAATGTCTTTCACAAAACCTCGGTCATCGTCACGAGTCCTGAGTCAGTCAAGGTAGGAGATCCTTCCCTTCCAGTGTCCTTCCCTTTGCCATGTTGGTAGTAGGGACAGTCATCCACTACCCACAGGGAGGGACTCAAATGACCTGGGCAGGTGCCTTCATTTTTCTGGGCGCCAGTTTTCTTCTTTATCTGTAAATGGGAATGATGGCCTCTCACGAGATGGTGTAAGAATTGTCATGTGTGAGACTTCTGCCCATGCCTGGCACACAGCAACACCTCAAGAGATGGTGCTGTTCCCACAGTTGTCTGTGGGTGTGGCTCTCTGCATGCAGGTGGCTGTGGTGACCCAGAGAGAGATAAATTACAATCCAGGATGTGTGTGTGTGTGTGTGTGTGTGTGCCTGCGCGCGCACGCGTGTGTGAGAGAGAGATTTAGTTTTTAATAATCTGTGTATATTTGTGCATCTGTGTATGGGTGTATGCATGTGAGTGCAAATGCCTGCAGAATCCGGAAGAGGCCTTGTATCCCCTGAAGCTGGAGTTATGGGCAGTTGTGAGCCACCTGACTCAGGTGCTGGGAATTGAACTCCAGTCCTTTGTGAGAGCAGTAAGTGCTCTTAACCTCTAAGCCATCTCTCCAGCCCAGTGTTAGTGGGTTTTGTTTTATATTGCTTTGGTAATGCTGGGAATAAAGCCCAAGGCCTGGGTCTTACAAGGGTGTCACCACCAAGTGACCCAGCCCTAAGCTAGAACTTCATGGACAACATCAGGAGACATATTGGACAACTATGGGATCGAGAACAAAGTTAAAATTCATTTAAAAATATGAATTCCCCTGGTATGGTGGTGCATTCCTCTAACTCCAGTGCCCTGGAGATAGAGGCAGGGGGGCCTGTATGAGTTCAAGGTCAGCCTGGCCTACATAGTGAGTACCAGGCCAGCCAGAACTACAGGATGAGACTCTGTCTCAAAAAAAAAAAAAAAAAATTTTTTTTTTTTTTGGTCATTGTTTCACTTCCTTAAAGGATGCCAGACTTCAGCTTGATAAGTGACTTCCCTGCAGATGATTTGGTCCTTTCCAGCCTTGACTGAAGGTCTATAGCATAGGCTAGAACAGACCTGACTCCTGGGCTGGGCCACCCCCTTTGTGAGGAAACAGCTCTCCTGCAGCCTCTCCCAAAGGCATTGTGTCCGAGATTGGTATGCTCTGGGCCAGGACAACTTGAACCACCTGTGGTGTGTGTGAGCCCAGAGACCCTCAAAGCCAATGGCTGTCCATCCATTCTGTCATCTCGAGTTTTGCAGTGTCACTGTGTGTACGCACGGCGTGTTCATGAGGTAGGATGATCATGGGTCTCTTTTTGCACATAGTTTCCCTCCAGAATGCTGGCCTAAAACTGCCAGCCTCCTGCCGGCTGCCTGGAGCCTGACCCCTGCCTGTGCCACTCAGCACAGCTGCTGGGCTGTATCTGGGTGTCCTTTAGTGTCTTTGTCCTGGAATTGACTGGGTGGAGAGCTAGGACAGAGCTCAGCCACTATACCTTTCCTTGCCTTGCTTTTCTGTCCTTTAGGAACACAATCCCATATGGTGTGTTCGAGCATCTGAAAACATACCCTTTATACATTTTCTTTTGCCCAGTTTTCTGGTTATTTGCAGCAGGAGAGTAAGTCCCTAGCTGTTACTGCCTCAGTTGTGAGTGACATCAGTAGAGGTGACCAGAGCAAGAGGTAAGGTGTGGGGGTCCCTTGTGTATCTCTCTCACCCTGGAAAGCTCAACTCAGTGGTCGGTCATGGATCCTTCGGGAGAGCAGGCCGTGGGAGATTCCTTGTGGTGGCGCCTCAGTGGTAGGGACTCTAGTTTAGTTGAGGTGGGGCTCACATAAGTGGGGGATCTTTGAGAGGAGTAGGAAGGTGACATTTGCTGTCACGGTCTTGGGTAGACAGGGTGATGACAGACTTAATTTATAAACTGAAGTGTGTGGGCGTGGGGCTGGGGTCTTTGGATTGGAAGAGAGACTCTAATGTCAGTCAGAGTGCAAAATCCAGCACCTCTGGGGTTCCTGTCAGCTGAAAGCTTTTGGTGTGAGACTGCAGGGCAGAGCCCACGGAAGCTCATAGCCCTGGTTGTTGGAGAGAAGTTCCCAACTCCTTCCTAGAGCTCCGGGGACCAAACTTTGTGTCTGACGGGCCCTGTGGACTCCGCTGTCCACCCCACTTCATGCTGGGATGTACCTTAGGACCCAGAGTTCTCTCTTTTCACTTGGCTGCTGATTGTCTGGTTCAAATCCTGTGTCCACCACAAACATTAGCTTGCTTCAGCTTTTGCTGTTTTGTTTGTTTTTTGTTTTTCTTGGACATAGAGTCTAACATAGGCCAGGCTGGCCCCAAACTCACTATGTAGCCCAGGATGGCTTTGACCTGCTCATCTTCCTGCGTCCATCTCCGCGTGCTGGCATTACAGGTGTCCACCACCATGTTCCTCTCCTGCAGGGGTAGGCACTGCAGATCCCAGGCTTTGTGCTCCCTGGGCACGCACTGTACAAACTCCGCAGCATCCCAGGCTCCTCCTGCTAGTTTCAAATCCCTGTTTTTCCATCTGTGAGCACAGTGAGCATAGAACAGCTCGTGTATCTGAGGGCTGGTAGAGCAAGAAGGGAACTGCAGGATGTCGGCGTGTCCTTGGCATTTATTGAGCGCTTGCTGCGTACCAGGCATCGTTTTCAGCTCTTTTGCTGCAGAGCTAGCTTAAGTGATCACTATAGCCTTTCATCATCATTCTCAGGCAGAGACCAACTCATCGGGGGGGGGGGTGTTAGCAAATACGGAGCAGTGCTGAGCCCAGCCCAATCCATTTTCTACTAGGTTCCACTGCCCCAGAGGCTGCTAAGTAACCTCAGTGTTGATGCCACATAGCTCTTGAGAGACACTCCAGAAAGTCCTTCTTCCTGTGAGGCCGGCTTGGGGCTGATGACAGAGAACACAGGGTCTCTCCTGTGTCAAAGGTTCATGGAAGCGTGGGCCTCTCTCACGCTGCTTTGGGAGGCATGGTGTATGGCCCCATGCCCACTCCAGCTGGGTGGTCACAGGACCCCTTTCTGTATCCCTCCTCGATTGCTCTCACTTAAAGATAGGCTTCCTGGTATGTGACCAACAGACTACTTGGTCATGTATTTGTTATATTCCCTTTGGGGCTGGGGCTTGGCTGGTGTCAGCACGCTGCCAAGGGCAACCTCTCATGGATTGTGTTGTTTTGCGGGGATATTTAGAAGTTCCTGATGTCCACCAAGTACAACAAGGACTCCAAGATGTACCGTGCGATTCAGACTGTGTTTGGGGAGAGGTAAGGATCCTAGGAAGGAGGGCTCCACTGGGAGCAGCACACATGATGGCTGTCCTGTGCATGGTGACCCCACGCTTGTCACTGGCATTTAATGCCTCTTTCCCCTCTGGGGGCAGATAGGGACATGGGATTTTGTCGGTGCTGGGACACAGGGTCACCTTGCTTGTTTGTTTATTTATTTATTTAGGTTGATGTAGAGAAATGGCATGTTTGTAGGATGCACATGATGTTCTGAAACACACATCACACTTCCTTTTTTATTGTGCTGCATGGACTATCTCACCCACATTGACACTGGCTACATCCACGGTGTGAGGCAGCCATCACCACACAGGTGACCCCGTGCCCACTGGGCAGTCCCTCCTGCTCTCCACCTTCCTTCTGGCACCCAACTCCTGTCTCTTGCAGACTATTTGGCCAGGGATTGGTGTCTGAATGCGACTATGGGCGCTGGTACAAGCAGAGAAGAGTCATGGACTTGGCCTTCAGTCGCAGGTGAGCATGTCGGAATGGGACAGGCCCTTCCGACTTGGCCAGGGCAGTGCTGGCTGCAGAGGGCTCTGCAGCGGGGAGGCCTTATTCACCTGGACACACCATCCTTTGGCCGGGGCTTGTTTGTGACCTCCTCATGATGAGGCTTGGGTCTGTCTTCTTGTAGAAACAAGAATCACATCCCAGGGTGCCTGCTGATGGTCTGCCCTAAGTTGGCCATGTTAATTTTGTTTAGGGGTTAAGGTGAGGGTTTTGGCTGTAAGGTCCCTCTAGAGTCTAGAGTCTAGACTAAATAATCTGTAGGGTCTGTGTAAACATTCCCTCCCTGCCCCGACAGATGTCAATAAAACTCAGACTTATCCCACCCTGCTGCTTGAAGCCTTCAGTGACTCACTGTCAAAAGAAAGATGGAGCTCAGCCCTTCCTCCCTAGTTCTCCCTGCCTTGCTTTCTTCCACTATCCTGGAGCTACCATACTCTTGTTTATCCATCTCAATGTGCTTTCCCTAGGGAATTCCTGTTGCCTATTTGATACCCAGCTGAGGTATCCCCTCCAGGGCTGAGCTCATACTCCATCATGACTTCTGCCACACTCAGGCAGTATTGTTTCACCAACCAGCCCATCTCTCTAATGAGATCATGAGTCCCAGAAATAGGAGGGATCCCTGCCCATAACTTCTGTGTCCACACAACACAAGATATCCCATAAGCTCTCCAAGAATGCCCATGAGAGATATGAGGAATTGGCAGAGTCTGGAACTTACTGAAAAGCTGCTTACGGAATAACAGGAGAGTGAGAGTGGGCTACACAATCCAGCTGAGTGATGTGGTCCCTGCCCCCAGTTATGAGGGGAACATGGATTCCAACCAGATGGTTCTAACCACAGAGTCTAACCACAGAGCCAGTGGGATGGCTCACCTGGTAGAGATGCTTGCCACCAAGTTTGAGTTCAATTCTTAGACCCATTTGTTAGGAGAGAACCAATTCCTCTGAGATTTATCTCCCGCAATAATTGTTTAAAGAGGAAAGAAAGCTGCAGGGCACTCTTTATGACTCCTGTCAGACTCCGTCATTTCATTCTGTGCTTCCCAGGACATTTCATAACACCACTGGTGCCTGGGGAGACATAGCAGGAAAAATTCTTGCCATGTGAGCATGAAGACCAGAATTTAGGCCCTCCAATCTGGGTGGGTGTGGAGGTCCACCTGTTATCAGAGAACCTGGGAGACAGAGGCAGGAAATCGACAGAGCAGCTAGCCAGCTAGACAAGCTCAAACAACGAACCCTGGATTCAGTGAGAGATGTGTCCACACATGGGTGGAGAGCAGTCAGGAAAGCACTCAGGGCTTCACACACTCACATACATGTGCATAGGCACACCCATATCATGTGCACATACACTATGCATACAAAGGGGTCCACACAGCACCAAGTATGCCACCTTGGCCCTCTCATGGGACAGTTCAGTGGCTCTCACCAGATGTTAAGGTGCCACCCTGGAGAGGGACATTTCTTTGTAAACACCTGTGCTGTCAAGCTTTAGGGAACAGACTGTGGAGCATGCAAGCATTGAGAGGCTGGGTAAGTTCAAACTCACCAATGAAGAAAATATAGAAACGGCTGGTGGCTCAGTCTCCAGCTGTCGCCCCCCCACAGAGTGTCACCACATGCTTTCAACAAAACAGAGAGAGTGTACACTCACACTTTCTACTTCCAAGGTTTTACTTTCACCAGAAGAGCTTGGTCTAGGTTTTTGTTGTTTTTTTCTAGAAAAGACTAGAGTGTTGGGGACAGCAAGATGGTTCAATGAATAAAGGCACTTGCTTGCCAAGCCTGGCAACTTGAGTCTGATTCCTGGGATCCACTTGGTTGAAGGAGGGAAGCAATTCCCCCAGGTTATCCTCTGACCTCCACATGTGCACCCGTGTACATGTATGCCATGCACATGCAAATACACACACAGTAGATAAATAAACAGATGCTTAAAACAAAAGACCACAGGAGAGGCTGTGGAGGCTGCACCACATGCCCTCCCTCCAGCAGCTTGCTCTGCTTACAGTGGTGGCCAGAAAGTCAGCATGACAAGCCACACACTGCCCACACAGTTCCCCAGACTGTGAGTGGAAAAAAAAAAAAAAAAAAAAAAAAAAAAAAAAAAAGACAGCCACACAACGCATCCCTGCAGACTGTGTGAACAGATGAAGAGAAATGAAAGGGTTAGAATCATGTATCGGTGCTTGAGAGAGACTGTCCTGAGAACCATCTGGAAGCTGGGCAGGTGTCCAGGTGCTATCAGGGAGGAGGACGGTGGAGGGACTTGTGCCCCATAGTGGGTTGAGCCTTGTTTTTTGCAGGAGGGTGCTATTGCAGGAAGACATCAGCAGGGGGCAGAGTCTGCCCCCTCCCTCCCTTCCCTAGAGGTGGATTTTTTTTTTTTTTAACCTCCCTAAGAGCAACAGTTGCTTTGGGGTTGGGGAGGAAGGGTGCTGGGAGATGCTTCCACAGAAGGCTGGCTGTAGGATAAGATGCTCAGCTGGCAGCAGCCAGGAAAGAGTCTCACCAAGTAGGTGAGGCCCCAGAGCAGTTTCTTTCCTAACAGGAAAAAAAAAAAAAAATGCTCTTTTTGTTTCTCTTTCATACTTCTTGCTAATGTTTAAGAAGCTTCCTATTTGGAAATAACTCCAAATTTCCAGATAAATTTCAAGGTTAAGAATGTAGGACGAGAGGGGCTTGGAGCAATGGCTCAGTGGTTAAGGGCACTTGCTGCTCTTGCAGAGGATCTGGTTATCCCCTGACTTCCACATATGCATCCAAGTGCATGTATGCATGTGCACAACTGTCTCACTCCAGTTTCCAAGGGACCCGATGCTCTCCCCTGGTTCCCACTGGTGCCTGGCATGTGTGTGCCACACTATTACATGCATGGCAAAACACCCACACACTTAAAGTACACACATCTTAAAAGAATAGGACAAAATTACCCATGCGCTCTTTTCTCAGATTACTATTAACCACTTTTAATTAAAAACATAATGTTCTCCTGGTAAAAGTGTGTAATGGGAAATTCTCCCCTCCTTTCTCCATGGTTGCTGTTTTTGAGTTTGGGGTATGTCCTCCCACGAATCCTTCTAAACTCTGTGCTTGGGGGATGTGCCAGGGCAGAGAACACAGTGGCATTGGGAGCTGAGTTGCAGATGGCATCTGGGGTCTCCTTTCCACATAGACTTAGGTCCCGTGGCTGCTCAGGGGCAGGAGTGAAATGGGAAAGACAAGGACTGCAATTGGTTCCCTGGCCCAGGCAGGTAAGGGGACAGAGTGCAAACAGGGGCAGCAGGGAGTCAGGGCAGCTGTGTCCAGGACTGTAGGGGACCCCACAATGTCAGCACTCATAACCCTTTGAAGTCGGAGTGGGGACATCACACTGGCAGAGGACCTATGGGACTTTTAAGATGGGGCCAAAGGGACAGTGTCCACTCAGGGCTGGGTTCATAGCTCTAACCCCAGTCTTAATCTGGGGTTAGTTTGGGAAGCTGGCAAGGCCAGACTACAGGGGACAGGGTGGCCAGCCAGGGGACTCTTGTACTGCTTCCCCAGCTCCTTGGTTAGCCTGATGGAGACATTCAATGAGAAGGCGGAGCAGCTGGTGGAAATTCTAGAAGCCAAGGCCGATGGGCAAACACCGGTGTCCATGCAGGACATGCTGACATGTGCCACCATTGACATCCTGGCCAAGGTAATGGGTGGTGCTGGCCGGTGTGGGGCAGGGGAGGAGGCTGGGGCACAGGGGTGGCGGGCCACCTCTCCCTTCTTCCTTCCGTAGCCCAGCTGAACGTCTTCTGTGCTCTGCAGAGTAGTTTTCATACATTTTATCTCATACATTCAAAGTGACCTACTGTGGGCCTGGGGTTCTGACCCCGTCTCCAGAGACGAACCCCCAGAGGTATTGGGACTGGCTTCAGCTGGTCAAGGCAAAGGTCTTCATGATCCTGTACACCCCCGTGGGGTATGGCTGGGCCTGTCATAGTAGACTTGGTCATCAGACAGCACGAAGCCTGTCTGAGGACAGCCAGTAGAATCGTGAGCAGGGCACTGCAGTGGGCGTGGGTGGCCCAGGCCTCTAGCGGCATGTGCCGTCTCTGTGAGGGAGCGCTGTGGCCTGCTTTTCCAGGTTTTGACTTCAGCTTTGTCTCCACACAGGCAGCTTTTGGGATGGAGACCAGCATGCTCCTGGGCGCCCAGAAACCCCTGTCCCAGGCGGTGAAGGTCATGCTGGAGGGTATCAGTGCATCGCGTAACACCCTGGCGAAGGTACTGCCTGCTCTTCCGCAACCACACTGTAGTTGTGCCCCGTGTGTGCTGACACGCCTCCTTCAGCGACTTCTTCAGAATGGGTTCTGTGTGTCCCGAATGTCGTCTGAGTCCAGATTTGCATGCTTTGCCTAAAAGTGGAAGAGCAAAATCAAAGTGGCTGAACGTAAGGACTGAATCTTTGTGTTGTGTTAAACGGTCCCCAAGGCAGGCATTCTAGGGTGCTATGACGCCTTCACCTGACAGATGTCCCTGGGTTCTTCTGTCTTTGTGTTCTACTGTCCTCACCTCATTGTCATAAGATGGCTGTTGTAGCTCCAGCTATCACTTCCTTATTCCAGACACGAAGAAGAAGAAAGGGGAAAGCCAATGTCCAGGCTCCCTTCTGTTCCTGGGGGCCTTCAGTCTCTGAGCTTGCGGCCCCCAACACCACTCTATCTTTTCAGCCACTGAATTCTACTTCCTTCCCTCTGGCCCCGACTTCTCCTTCCCGATGCAGCCCTGACTCTCTCCCGCCTTCAGGGGCCCTCTCTTCCCAGCGCTGCATGGAGGCGGAAGGGCCTCTCCTCAGTTGATTTGGTGCAGGAGGGGGAAGCTCATGCTTGGACACAGTCTGCTGTCTTGTTCTGGTCTGCCTGGCTGCTTGAACTTTTCTAGAATTTTCTCACGTTTCCCCCAGCACACCGCTGTGTGGATTTGCGGGTGGGGGCTGGGGAGGGAACTGCAGACCTAAGGACAGCCTTGAACAGGGGGGTCTGCTTCAGTTCATGCCAGGGAAGAGGAAGCAACTGCGGGAGATCCGGGAGAGCATCCGCCTGCTGCGCCAGGTGGGAAAGGATTGGGTGCAGCGTCGCCGGGAGGCCCTGAAGAGGGGTGAGGACGTGCCCGCAGACATCCTCACGCAGATTCTCAAAGGTGCGGGCTGGGACACCCAGGAGCAGGGCCCGGCCGGCTGGGGGTGCTCCTCACCGCTGGCTCTGCCTCCGGCTTCAGAGAAAACGATGAGCTGGGGCTGCCGTGGGGCTGAGTGTATCGTTGCCTTTCAGCTGAAGAGGGAGCCCAGGACGACGAGGTCCTGCTGGACAACTTTGTCACCTTCTTCATAGCGGGTGCGTAGCTCGTGGTGTGGACGGCCCACACTTTGCTCCGGGTACCTTAACCCTGGTCGAGTTGGGGGTTATCTGAGCCTAGCTCCAAGCAGGAAGGGAGCCTGTCTGCTGCTGTCCTTGTGACCTAGCTGTTGACTGGGCTGTTTGGGACACTGGCTTCTTTGGCTTAGGAGAATTTGACTGTGAATGTAGGGTTCCTTCATTTCAGATTTGTTAAGATTTATTAGCTTGGTACCGATGTGTGCCAAGAACATTCATTCATTTGCTCATCTCCTTAGTGTTACTGCTCACCTAGAAAGCCCCCCTCCCCAGCAATCTGGCTGGTGCCTCCTCCTCAGGGAAGCCCTCAGAGATCAATCACCCTCCAAGCATTTAGGCCCAAGTGAAAACCTCCTTCATGCCCAGACCCTGCCTTCTGTCCGCTCCTCTCGTGGGAGGCTGTATTTATCCAAGTTGATTTGGTGACGGCTGTGTTCCCATCAGCTCAGTTGGTAAACTGTTTGCCATGCCAGTATCAGGAACTGAGTTGTGGGTACAGCATCCACACACAAAGGCAGGCGCCATGGCACATGACTAAAATCCCGTGTGTGGGCAGTGGAGCCAGGGGGTCCTGGGGCTCACTGGTCAGCTGGCCTTATCAGTGAGCTCTAGTCAGTGAGAGACCCTGTCTCAAAAAACAGGCGACAGCTCCTGAGGTTGACATGGGGTCTCTGTGTCCATGCACATACATATGCGTGTGCACACCTGTGAACAAGTCAGTACATGCACACATATATGCATGTGTACCCACAAATATGTCAGTACATGCACACATATATGCATGTGTACCCACAAATATGTCAGTACATGCACACGCATATGCTTATGCACCCCATGGACATGTCAGTACACACACACACATGCATGTGCACTGCTATGAACATGTATTCCCCTACATGCACACAGAAAAGAAAAAACAGTAAAAACTACCTCTGAATGAACGGCAGGTCTTTCTGCCACTGGGAAGCAGGGCCAGTGTGGAACCCCTGGAGAGCCTGAACTTCCTCTTCCCTTTGTGAGCTGGGACTGCTGGTGCTGCCCAGCTTCTACCTGTCTCCCAGTGAGGACTGAACAGGCCTTCCTTCCTCACATCCCAGCCTGAGCCTTGGCCTGTGTGGAGCTGGGGGCCTGGGTGTGTGTGTGTGTGGTGTGTGAGTGTGTGTGAGTGTGTGTGTGAGTGGTGTGTGAGTATGTGTGTGTGTGAGTGTATGTGTGTGGTGTGTGTGTGAGTGTATGTGTGTGGTGTGTGTGAGTGTGTGTGTGTGTATGGTGTGTGAGTGTGTGTGAGTGTGTGTATGGTGTGTGAGTATGTGTGAGTGTATGTGTGTGAGTGTGTGAGTGTGTGAGTGTGTGTGCGTGTGCACATGCATTTGGCTGTTCAGGCTGTCCAGGGCTGGCCACTCCTGAGCTGTCCTTAGGGGAGACCCTAGGAGCAGGTGGCCTCACCTCCCTGTGCCAGCTGGCTGTGAGATGGCTTGGCTACTCCCTAGTGGCCACCTGCTGAGCTGTTTGCCCCTCTCCAGTGCAGTCATGAGACTCAGTGCCCCTCCCCCAGCCAAGTCACCCTTGGAGGGTTTTGACCCTATCAACTTGATGGCATCCTTCCCGAGCTCAGCTTTCCCGAAAGGACCCTGACCTTTGACTGAGGAGGTGTCCTATCAGTCCCTGTGACTGGAGGGGCACTTTCCTTCTTGGACCTCAGGAGGAACTGAAAGCTTTGGGTAGGCCCCCAGAGGGCTGGTCAGGGCAGGGCAGGGCGGGGCAGGGCGGGGCGGGGCGGGGCAGGGCGGGGCAGGGCGGTGGACTCAAACACTCACAACTTCGAGTTCTTCCTAGCTTCAGCTTTTTGAGATACTATATAGACCAGGTTGAACCTCAAACTCAGAGACATCCTCCTGCCTCTGCCTTCTAAGTGCTGGGATTAAAGGTGTGGCCACCACACACATCCCTTTGCCTTTCTTTTCTGTAAAATAGGGACAGCTGGGCAGAGGATGGAAGCCATGGCTTTCAGAGCAACTAAATGGAGATATGGGGCAGGCTTACTCACCCACTGGCCAGGAGAGGGGACGCACAGACAGACAGACAGACAGACACAGACAGTCCCTTTCATATCACAGCCATGGAGGGGGAAGAGGTGGGTTCTCAGATGCTACTGAGAACCTGGGGTCAGGGGGCAGGGGGTGGGCAACCCTGTGGTTCCTCTTATGGTGGTGACTTCCCTTCCTCCTTCAGGCCATGAGACTTCTGCCAACCATTTGGCGTTCACAGTGATGGAGCTGTCTCGTCAGCCGGAGATCGTGGCAAGGTATGAAAGCGGCCCTGGGGGCTGGCAAAGGGCTTTTCTGATGTCTTTCCAAGGGCTACCTGTCCCCACATGCCATGGCTGGAACCCTCTAATGGATCTGCTTCCCTTTACTCCAAGGCCTTGTACTTGTTTCCTGGCCTACAGGCTCTACTCTCTGCTTGTTGCTGGAGAACATGTCCACACTCCTCCGGTGAAGCCATCTGGGATCCTTGATGTAGCCATCACCTTGCCCCTCCACCCTACTCTACCCCCACTGTCCTAGCTCAGCAGTGTCTTCTCCAGGGACTGTTGGCTCCCATTCTTTGTTTGCCAAGAGACCAAGAGCTGTGGGCTAGCACTGTGGTCCTATTCCTCCTACTGTGCGCAGACTATCCCAGCTGGGCCTGACCACCAGCCCTGTGTGTGGCCGGGTCATGGAGGATAGCCGGACGCGGTGCCTGAGCTGGTCAGCTCCCAGCTGGCTTCCTTTGCAGATGGGCCCCCTCAGGAGTGTCAGAGGGCAGACAGAACCAAGCTCAGAGCCCCTGGCCATGCAAGATGCTGCAGGTCACCAGCACAAAGGGCAGAAGTGAGAGATGGCATGAGAGTGTAATATGCCTTGATGGGGGCTGGAGAGATGGCTCAGTGGTTAAGAGCTCTGGCTGCTCTTCCAGAGGACCCAGGTTTGATTCCCAGCACCCAAATGGTGACCTACAACTATCTGTAACTCTAGTTCCAGGGGATCCAGAGCCTTCTGGCCTCCACAGACATTGCATGCATACAGACATACGTGCAGGCAAAACCCTGATATATACAAGATTTTAAAAACCGCTTACTGGATTTTAAATAAATATATATGTATTAATATATGTGTGTATATATACACTAGAAATATGCGCTTTGAAGCAGAGTAGGGTGTCCTCATTGTCACCGTGCTTGCATGCACAAGGCCCAGATCCCATCCCAGATACTGGGAAAATATGTCACATTTGAACTATTTTTAAACTCAAAGTCCAAGGACAGGAAGTGCATTGATACTGTGGTGCAGGCCTGGCTACCACCTGATCCCGGGGCCTTTCCCTGCCCCACCTAAAAACTCACTCTACTTAAGCAGCTGGGCTCTCCCAGACTTCGATGCCCCGATCAGTGTAGGCACCTGTCCAGAGGAGCATCAGACAGCGTGTGTCTGTCTGTGTTTGGATTATGTCAGCTCATCATTGAGTCCTCAAGGCTCATGCATGTTCTGCATCATCAGTTACTACCTTCAGAGCTTGTGGGTTTACACCCTGAGGCAGAATCACCAGACCATAATTCTGATTGTAACGTGGGGAGCTACCACCCTGCTTTCCATGGTAGCTACGCAGCTTTCTGTCCTCACCCGCTCTCCACCCGCATCCCAGCTCGTCCTTGTTATTTGTTATTTACTTCTTACTCGCTGCCCACCGCCCTGATGGGTGTGAAGTGGCCCAGATACAGCTGCAGCCTCCCCGGACCATTCTTGCCCGCATGTCTGGCTGTAGCTGCCGGCAGTCCACCGTGGTGGGCATGCTCTGTGAAGGGCTGTGTGGGGGTGTGGCTCCTTTCTAAGGTTCCATCTCAGGTCACTTGTGAAGCCTCCACTCCAGGGCTGGGATGCAGCTGTCTCTCCCGGGAGAGGGGGGCAGTGTGTGCTGGTGGGAACCCCAGGCCCTGCTCTTTGATCTCTCTTCCACCCTTACTTTAAATGCTACTTTAAAGGGCGGAGCTTTCTCTCCAGAGGTGAATGTCTTTGTCTTACCTGCAGGCTGCAGGCTGAGGTGGATGAGGTGGTCGGCTCCAAGAGGCACCTGGACTGTGAGGATCTGGGAAGACTGCAGTACCTGTCCCAGGTGTGCGGTGTGGGTGAGCCGCCTATGGGTAGCCGTGGGCTCAGACCGTTGTCTCACTGGGCCCCCCTTGGAACTCAAGTGCCCCTAGATTCAATAGCAGGATGGAGATGCGCTCCCACCCCCAAGAATGCAGCCAGGGTTGGAAAGTGGCCATCTAGCAACTGGGACTGAAATTGCACCTCCAGACAACACTGGTTCCAAAACCTTTCTCTGCGGAGCTGCTCAGTACCCTCCATCCCCTGTGCCCCAGGCAGCCATCCCCTGGGAGGAGCGGGGCCCTGCCCTTCTGGTCCCAATGCTGCCCCTGTGTCCTTCTCCTTTGGGTCTCAGTTTCTCCTTTGGTCACATAATGGGTTGGACACTAGGGCAAGGGTGGCATTCTGGGAATGTGGGCCACATTGGGGCTGGGCGTGTGTTCAGCGGGAATGGGATGGGGTCTCCTGGGTCCCTGCACCCGCTTTTTTGCATGTCTTCTGTAGGTCCTAAAAGAGTCTCTGAGGCTGTACCCACCAGCATGGGGCACCTTTCGCCTGCTGGAGGAGGAGACCCTGATCGATGGGGTCAGAGTCCCCGGCAACACTCCTCTCCTGGTGCGTGGGGCCCTCAGGCGGGCTGGCCTGATTGTTCCCAGAGTGGACAATTTGAGTTAAGGGAAGCCATAGGCCTGTTACCATCATGACAGTCACTTTCCTGGCTACCTTGTGCTTGCCCGAGTGTCCCTGTGACCCTGCCAGGTCCTCTTCTACCCTTCACATGTCCAGCAGACAGATCTAGAAAGGAAGTGCTCCACACACAGTGAGGTGCTCCACACACAGTGAGGTTCTCCACACACAGTGAGGTGCTCCACACACAGTGAGGTGCTCCACACACAGTGAGGTGCTCCACACACAGTGAGGTTCTCCACACACAGTGAGGTGCTTCACACACAGTGAGGTGCTCCACACAGTGAGGTGCTCCACACACAGTGATGTACTCTACACAGTGAGGTTCTCCACACACAGTGAGGTGCTTCACACACAGTGAGGTGCTCCACACAGTGAAGTGCTCCACACACAGTGAGGTACTGCTCCGCACACAATGAAGTACTCCACACACAGTGAAGTAATCCACACACAGTGAGGTGCTCCACACTCAGTGAGGCTTAGTCACTTCCTTGGGGCTCCAGAGCAGGCAGAAGGGAGCTATGGAATGTTCTTGGAGTCCTCTGTGAGTCCATTTTGTGTGTGTGTGGTGTACATACATGTGTGTGGGCACGTGTGTGGGATGTATGCATGCACTAGGGTGCTCATGAGTGTGGAAGCTGGAGGTTGATGTCAGAACCATCCTCAGCCCTTTCCTACCTACTACAGAGTCAGGGTCTCTCTACCACACCCAAAGGTTGAGATATGGCGATCTGGCCAGCTTCCTCTGGGGATTTCCCTTTGCCTTCTGAGGCCGGAGTTGCAGCAGGGCAGCCATGCTCACCCAGCATCTTAAGTGTGCTCCTGGGCTCTCAACACTGGTCCTCAGGCTCATGTAGCAAGCGCTCTAACCACTGGACCATCTCCCCAGTCTTTGCCCCTCCCTGTGGTGATATCTTGCTTGTACAAATAAAGCCTGTCCGAAGGTCAGAGAATGGAGCTTGCCACTGGCTAACCATAGAGGTCTGGAGGTCTGTACAGACAGACAGGAAGTGAGGTAGCTGGGTGGAAACAGGATGTAAGCAGGGAGAGACGGGAACTCACTGTCTTGTCTGCTGAGACTCTAAAAGAGTCAGGTGTGGCGGTGGCTGGCGATTTACCACCAGCCCTGGGAGCCGTGCTCACAGACTCAGCTGTCATCTGTGCCGCCATCAAGCAGCTTGCAGCACACTGCCCACAAACCATTTTTGTCTTTATGAGTGAAAGCTAAATCTGCCATGCATGCAGCATGCTGGACGGCTTGGGGATGGCCTCTGTGTACCCTGGCGGGAATCTGCCATGCTGTGTTCAAGCCCACAGCGTCTCTGCACCATGGCCTGCATGAGACTGTAAGAGTAGGAAGCCCTCTGCAGCCCCATTTTACTGGGAAACTCTTGCCCTGTGTTGGGTGCCATTTGATGATGGAGTTTCTGTCCCAAACGGTCCCACAGTCGTTTAGTCCCAAATAAACACACAGAGGCTTATATTAATTATAAACTGTTTGGCCGATGGCTCAGGCTTCTTATTGTCTAGCTCTCTCTTAATTACTAACCTATTTCTATTGAACTATGTACTGCTACGAGGCATGGCTTTCCTGTATTACTCTGGCATATTACTCCTTTGGTGGTTACATGGAGCCACTTGCACAACTTACTCTCCGAGTTCCTCCTCCTACCGTTTTCCTAGCCTGGTTGTCCCGAGTATACCTCCTACCTGGCTACATCCTGCCTGTCCATTGGCCGAAGCAGCTTTATTCGTCAATCAATAACATAAATTCACAGCCTACAAGAGGACATCCCCCATCACCTCCCCGGACATTTTCCTAGCTCTTCTCTTCCCTTATGGGCCTCTCCCCACTCCTGTCCTCTTCCTCCGCCTCCTGCCCTCGACCTGTTGCATCCAGATGGATTGTGTGTGGTTCTTCTGTGTGTACTTCACTCGCCCGTGGGGCTCATTGTTCGTAATGGCCCTCCTAACTGCCACCCATCCCTGCATGCTACTCCCCCCTCCTGGAGCGATCACTGTCCTCAGTTTGGCACTTGCCACTGCCTGGCCTCTGTCTTAAATGTGGACAGATCCTGAGCGAGTGCCCACTCAGTGCCCATGAGGCAGCCACCAGCAGCGGAACTGGAGGAGGGTACACACAAGGCTTTGATGTGTAGAGGAGGCCCCACCCCAGCTCCCTGATCACCCCTGCCTTAGCTTCAGGTTCCTGTGAGCCTGGCTCATCCTTGTGTGGTATTGGGTGGCAGGTACCAAAGTCAGCCACTCATGTGCGTGGGGTAATGTCCAGCAAACACCCCTGGTCCATAGAAGATCCCCTGGCTCCTCACCCCTGGCCCCCTGCTGCTACTCACTTTCACAGCTCAGCCCCAGGCTGCTGTACTCCCAGGGAAATGAGGTGGCCAGTGCCCACAGCCTAGTTAGGGGACACCTTGCTTTTCTGGGCTAGACGCATAGCCCTTGGGCACCCAGGGTGTAGAGGGCGAACCAGCTCTCTCAGGAGGCACTGAGTTCAGGTGAAGAGGGTGGGGCTTCAGCTTCCCCTAGCATCTGCTCTGCAGGCAGAAGTGAGGCTGAGGTGAAGGAGGGGTCAGCCTCCAGTGTTCAGGGGGAAGGTGCCTCCCAGCACCCAGGCCTCAGACCACTTAGTTCCTGGGTGACTTCAGGTAAGTCCCCAACCCTGTTATGCTTAGGACAGAGGTCACTGTGACTGCCCCTGGGGATGATCCAGCAAGCCCGATGGTAACGGCTGTACCAGTGTCCCCCGTCTTCCTCTTTGAGGTTTTCCAGGGGGAGAGTGGATTGTCACATGTAACTAAATAGGCAGAAAGGGGCTGTGTCCCACATCAACCGGGTGGGGTGGGGGCTGAAGTGGGTTGGGAGGTGCATGGGGATTGCCCTGGGACCCAGAGGCACCAGCCCCTTTGCCCGGCAGTTCAGCACCTATGTCATGGGGAGAATGGACACCTACTTTGAAGACCCGCTGACCTTCAACCCCGACCGTTTCAGCCCTGGAGCGCCCAAGTAAGTCCCTCTGTGAGCTGCCATGATGGGGTCTGAGGGTGAAGGCTCCTGGGCTGAGCCCTCTGCACCCACAGAACACATTCTTCCAGGACCCCGGGAGGGGGCTGAGGGGGACATCACAGCTCAGGGGCAGCGTGTCACTTGCTGAGTCAAGTGTCTTTTCTGTTGTGTGATAAATTCTCTGACAAAATTGACTAAAGGGGGAGAGAGATCTTGAGGGTGGCTTATTCAGCATGGAAGCAGGGAGGTCAGGGAATGTTATGCCAGTGCTTGACTTACTCCCTGCATCTCAAGCAGCCCAGGATGCCCTGCCCAAAGAACGGTGCCACACCCAGTGGGCGGGGCTTCCTGATCAATGAATGCAATCAGGATAATCCTCTACAGGCTTGCCTCCTCCTGGCTTCTAGTTCTGCCAAGTTGATGATTAACACTAACCATCATTCCTGCCCAGTGGCAGAGCTCAGCAGTTTGCTGAGGATGGCTCTGCTCCTGGCCCCAACCTGGTCACAGGAGGGGACAGGTGTGTGGACACCCCACTCCTTGTACTGACCCTGAAGGGCTTCTCTCCCGCAGGCCTCGATTCACCTACTTCCCCTTCTCCCTGGGCCACCGCTCCTGCATCGGGCAACAGTTTGCTCAGGTAGGATGTGGAGGGTCTGGGGCCTCCAAGAAATGACTGCGGGGTGGGGGTGGGGTGCTGGGGCTGGGTGTGCCTGACAGGAGAACGAGAGAGGGGAACCTGTGCATTTGTGTTTCTTTCCTGCCTCTCTCCCTGTCTCCCCTCCCTTTCCCACCCTGCTTCCCTGCCTCTCACCCTTCCTCTACCGCCTCCCTCTTCCCTGCCCGTCCCTCTGCTCCCTCCCCCTCCCCCCTTCTCTTCCCCTCCTCCCTTCCATTCCCTGCCTCCACAGATGGAGGTGAAGGTTGTTATGGCCAAGCTGCTTCAGAGGCTCGAGTTCCGGCTGGTGCCTGGGCAGCGCTTTGGGCTGCAAGAGCAGGCTACACTCAAGCCACTCGACCCAGTGCTGTGCACCCTGAGGCCCCGGGGCTGGCAGCCTGCACCCCCACCCCCACCCTGCTGAGCCCTGGGTAAGGTCAGACTCCCGGGGCCAGGGCCTCACTGGGCCCCACTGCTGCCCATGGCCACCCACCGGCACCCCGACCCTTCTTCTGCAACCTTCCATGATGGCTCCTGGCGGGCCCTGTACCCTCGCCTGCTTCACACCCTCAGTGCTTCCGTTCATCTGCTGGCTTTTCGGCCCTTTCCGGTGGGCTCTGCCTGACTCCCAGCCACCACCACCACCGTCTCTCCTGAACCTCTGAAGTTCTGCACTGGCCACACCCTCAAAAGAGACACCCTAACTCTTGCTCACTCCCTAAAATCTTCAAGTGACACATCCCCCAGGAAGCCCTCCTTGCTACCCACAGCCGGGCCAGGGTCCCTCCTCTGTGCTCCCTTGTCACTTGTGCCTACCTCTAACACACTGACCACACTGTATTGTGACTGTCTGCTCATGTGACCAGCTGCCCTGCCAGGCTGTGAGTGCCATGGGGCAGGGTCTGTGTGCACATCGTCTCTGAGGCCCCTGTTGCTAACCAGGGTCTGGAACAGAGTCGATGCCCAATAAATGTGTGTTGACTGCATGAATGAACGGCCACCCAGGCCACAATGCTCTCCTTTCTTCTGGGTGCAGGGCGGGGTGACAAGGTTGATCCCTGGGGACTGGTACAACTCCAGAAGCCGCCTGCTTACAAATGTCCCTAGAGAGGCCTGGACAATTCCACTGTGCAAGAAGTCTGTCTATTACCAGAAGGGCCCTGCTTTAGCAGAAACCAGTTCCCTATGGGTAGAGTCTGTGCAGAGGGTGCTGAGTGGCTCTGGGATTACAGGAGGGGTCCTGGCACAGAGAGCTTGATTTGAGGGGGACAGGACTGCTTCTTGTGGTTGATGTGGGCATCCGGACCTGCCTCACATCTGCGGACACCTGTGGGCACAGTGTCGTACCTCCTGACATAGCCAGAGGAAGCTCTTGGCAGCCCTGAGGTTTGGAAGTGTGTCAGACCTCAAGGCAGAGGAAGCCCTTCCTTTTATAGGCAGGGCATGTGTTCTAGGCCAGTCCAGGGGAGATGGTCTCAGCTCTTTCTTCCCCACTGGGAGCCTGGGTCAGTGACAAACTTCAATCACCCATGACGATGCCTCCTGCATCCTGGGGAGTGGAAACCTGTAAGGACCTTCCTTGTACATTGCCTCCCATGGTCCTTGGCCATCTAACAATGGCTCCCAGAAACTTCCCAAGAGACAAATGATGAGACCAAGGCCAAGAAAGGCAGTGATTTGCTCCATAGAGCTGGGGCCTGGAGTGCAGCTGGGAACCGGGAAGTGTGTGCCTGGGTTCCTGGCCTGTCCCTGCCGCAGCCCAGGTTGCCCTGTACAAGGACTTTGGTCTCAGCCTCTGGGATTGGGGAGGGGGATTTGGCCTCAGCAGGGGACTGGAGATGCCTCTGGAGCTGCAGGAAGGCTTTGGTTGTACTCCATCTCCTGCCTGTCTCTTTCCAGTGTCCTGACCAGACTCAGTCACCACTACCTGGGAATAGCCATGCTTGACCTGTGTTTTAGAGGCAAAGCCATCCCTGACTGGTCACTGTCCCCAGCAACCCTTTTCCATAGGCACTTCATGTCCTCTCTCATGTTGTCCTGAGCCCTGCCCTGCCACAACTCCCACACCCTGCCTGGGGCACCTCTGAAGTTCACCAGCCACCCGCGCCTGCCCCATGCATGCCAGCCCCCGTTCGCTGCTATGGCCGAACCTGGCAGACCCCTGCAGGACAGTACCGCCCTCATCACCCACCTGAAGGGTCACAGGTCACTGGACCTCAGCACCGTAGAGGGCCACAACCTGGCCTCACCTGGAGGATCAGTTCCTTCTAGAAGCATCAGATTCCCCGTGTTAGCATCTTCTGGCTTGGGCTGATAATTGTTGAGCCTGAGCCTTCACATTCTTACCTGCCCCAAATCCTCCCAGGGGACAGGAAATGGAAAAGTCAGGATCACAGTCAGAATGGAGTCAGGACAGACTCATGGCCCTTCATAGCTGTCACTGCAGGCCCGAGTTAGATCTCTGTGCCGGGACCTAACGGATGAAGAGACAGAGGACAGGAAGGGCCCTCTGCCACCCCCTGTAGGGTTGATATCCTGCTCAGCCCCCTACCACACTGTGGGCTGTCTGTGAGGGGCGGGGGGTCTCAGCCCAGCAGAGGTCAAATCCTGACCTCACCTGTCACTGGCTTTGGAGCTTGGACTTCAGATCCCTCATCACTCTTCCGAGCTGGTGGAGCAGTTAGGCGAGTTCCGGATCCGGTGGAGCATGGCACAAAGCCTGTGCATTCCTCCTGCTGGCCATTATAAAGTCTTTATTGCTCCTGGGAGGGACAGACAGGCTTGGGAAAGACTTGCAGTCCCCAGAGGAGCCACATGGGGCCGCCCTGGAGCAGCTCTGCTCACCCACTGTGACAGGATGTTCTGTGTCTTCTGCTCCTTGCTGGGGGCCTGGGGTTGGGAGGTGCCAGGACAGTGTCCTGCTGGCCAACAACCTGACCGTCAATTTTCAATGCCTTTCCTAGAGATGGGCCTGGACTGTGGGTGCTGGAAAGGGGAAAACCTTCCATCAGAAGCCAGATGGAACCCAGTCCACAGATGGGATCACTGGTGGGTGACGCACAAATGGCGGGGGCCTGAGTCCAGTCTCTCGCGATGCCTGAGATGCCCTCCCCGGGGCTCTGGGGTGTCGCTGACCCCTTGCCTGTCTCTAAGCAGAGGTGGCCTTTTCTGAAAGTTCCCTCCCTTGTAAACTTAGACACAAGAATGTGGGAGGACAGGGGCTCTGAATCTATGTTCTCCCCTGGCAGGAAGTCCAGTATTCACACTACTCAGGTAGGCAGTTTATACTGGCACCTTGGGACCCAAGCAGACAGAGGGGTGACCACAGCAGGAGGCATGCTGGGAATTCTCACTGCCAGGAGTAAATGTGGGTTCTGCTGCTCTGAGAGAGTGGAGTCTAAAAGGAGGTTGGGGAGCCCACTGGGGATGTACCCACTTTGCTGTGTTCAGTTCCCAACTTCCCCAAAGGGAGCTTGGCAGAGGTAAGAATGGGGGGGGGCAGCTGCAAGAGAGTATCTTGTCTGTCGAGGTGGCAGCCGGGTTCCAGAGTCTATCCTGTGTGGGGATGGCGATAGGTGGGAGTCAAGGGACCCATTTCTGCTTCCCACGCCCTCCTCAGGCCATGCCTGGGGTTTAGCCCAACAGCAGAGTCTGTGACCAAGCCCTTTGCTGGCCCTTGTACCAGGGCAAGAACCTATCTCTGAGCCAGAGACCCCAAGGAGAGTACTAGCAGAGGCAGCCTTGATGGCCCGTTGAGCACTAATTGCAATGGCTTGCTTGCGTGAGTTCCCAGTTCTTGTGTGAGGTCCCAGTTCTAGAAATATGGCTTAAGGGGGTCTTTCCTGTCACAGGACCCAAGGCAGGGGAGGGGCTTCAGGGTCCACCTGCCTTGCTCCGCTTACAGATCCAAGGGTGGGGCGCTTTCCGTGAGCCTTTCCTGCTGTCACCACAAGCTAGGATTCCTAGGGACCTAAGTCTGTGGGAGCTTTGACCTGAGGAGAGGACAGTCTGCTCCCACCCAGTGACACTAGAGCAGCCGGACTGTCCTGCCTGGCTTTTCTCCTGGCCTTTCTCCTGGCAGCCATCCAGGAAGTGTTTTACTTAGGTACCTGGGCTGGGCCAGGGGAGCTGGCTGTGTGGAATTCATTTCCAGAACTGTGCTGGAGCACCAGGTGTGTATACGTGTGTGTGGGCACACATGCATATGCATGAATGACTGTGTATTTCCCATATGCATATTCTTCCTATGGTTGTGTCTCATAGAATCCCATGTACGTGAACCTGTGTTTGTGTAAGCCCCATTGGTACACATTTGTGTCTTCCAGGGTTTCTCAGTGTCTCTGTGTGTTCCCATCATCTCCTCTTTGCATTTGAGATGTATGTGAGTCTCCATGTATGTCTATGTGTTCATGTGTGTGTCTCGGGCTGCGTACAGCGGGGTGTGTCTGACCTCATCCTAGCTGGAGGAGGTGTCTGATCTAATCAGGGTTGGTGGAACACTGGAGAAGCACCTCCGTGGGCTAGGTCATGGTCAGCCCAAATACAAAGGTCAGACCTCTTCCACAAGGCTACCTGGTCAGGAAGCATGTAGACATGTTTAATGTAGACATGTACCAGGCTTCGAGTTCCACCCACGGAGGACCTGGGGGAGGTATGTGTTCTCCCACTCCAGGTAGAGAGAGAAGGTGTCGCCAGCAAAGAGGAGCGTCTGGACACCCAAGGCCAGGCCAGATGAGCTGGGGAAAGACAGGGCAGCAGAGGGAGACATAGGAAATGGCTCCTCCTCTATGACCATGTCACCCAGACTTCAGGCTCAGGGCTGGGCCCCAAAGGTGTCCGGTAATTGGGTGACTCCTACTCTTGCCAACATTCCTCACCTCACCTGCTGGTCTCTTGCCGTTCTTGGGGTGGCATGAGCCCTTTCTTATACCAGGCTCTTCTTCTGCGCATCCCTACCCCAACCATTTCCTAGGTCCCTGCACATCTATGCATGTAAAATGCATGTATGCACATATGTGTGTGCTCACGTGGGAGCACATGTCCACTACCAAACACATGTATACACACATGCACACCCCCCTGCCCACAACTTCTCATGCACGCAGTGGGTTCGTTCACTGCTATTATGACCTCAAGGACAAGAGAATCAAGTTGTTGTTTTTTTCCCCTAACACATGTCCCACAATAAAGAGAACAGGAAGGGACTTGAGGCCAAGGACAGGAAGGGGGAGTGGCCTGCACACAGGGTGGGACAGCTCCAAGGAAGGAGGCAGAAGGTTCCTTGTGGCACTTCAGCAGCCCGGCCAGAGAGGATATCAAGGTTGATCCCAGGCTTGTCCATTCATCCTGAGGCCCCTGTAGAGCTGGTGTCTGACCTGATCTGTGTGTCTGTGTGTCACCAGACTCCTTCCAGCCCTTGCCCTGCAGTCTGCCTGGCAGGGCCAAAAGTGAGCATCTCTGTGACTTCTCCTCCACACTAGGACATGCCACATCCCTGCCACCCTGGCTGCAGTGAGTTTCCAGGCTCTTCTGTGTGGAAATGTGCTCCTGAGAAATGAACCTACCCCAGGTCCCAGAACAGTTAACTGCAGGAGGTGAGACCTGAGGCTGGGTATGCAGGGAATCCTAGGACTCTTCGGCCCCCGGCCTGGCTTAGGGCCAGCTCCACAAGAGGTGTCCATTGGTACCTCCTCATGTAAAAGGACAGAATCAGAGGAGGGCACCATAGGCCAAAGCCATAGAGCAGGGCCAGTTCTAAGAGGTAGGTCTGATTCCCCAACATCATGCCACCACCCTCCTAATGGCCACTCCTTCCCTGGTCTTGGCTCCTTGGGGGACACAGATGCTACCTACCATGACTTGCTGCATACCTAAGAGTCTGTGTCTCTCTGGTATTACGAATTCCCACTGCCCATACCCTCTGTCTCCATTACTTTTCTGTTGTTGTCACCAAACACCATGACCAAGGCAACTAATAAGAGAAAGC